ATGTGTAATAAGAATTGTGATGCATTCCGCTATCATATATTTAAAAAATAAAAGGAATTGAAAAATGTCACCTCCTCTGTGAAGTCTATTGTTGAAATGTATTCAGGCACATACATATCCTTTATCTAGTTTAGGCCAATTGCAGTTAAGGGCTCTTAGCTATGTATAGTAGGTGTTCACAATTGTTGAATGAATATCTTTCAATATTTTATTTAAAAATAAATGTCTCTTCCAGCAAATCAGGTAATTTATTTGAAATGGAGTGACAATATTTTCTGAATACCTGTAACTGGACAGATTTCTACCCACAAAAGAGGTCTACCATGGTTTGCTATACAAAATGTCTTTAACATTTCTTCTTATTCTAAATAATGAAATGTACACTTTACTTCCCATGTTCTGACAATCTCTTGTGCCAGTTATTAACTTAATTTCTTGAAGATTAAAAAATACCCTTTGAGGCCAATTCTACTACAATAAAGACCATTTTAAAAAACATTTCTCCTTTACAGCAAGCACACTGTTCAGCTTCCTCAGTGGAAGACACTGATAGTTCTGCTCATGCATAGCTGGTCAGCAGCTGTAGAACACCTAGTGATGATCTGGCCCTACTTTGAGTACAGAATGGCAGCCTCAGTTGGTGTGAGGATCACCTTCCCATGTCCCTAACATAGACACCATGTGTTCCAGACTCCCACCCTCAGTGGCATCCAAATTCCAGTACACCAGCTGAGGGTTCCTTGTGTCCTGGAGACTGGCTCCCTGTTTGCTTGGTGATCATGGACAAATCTGGCCTAGGCAACCCAATGAACTTCTCTGCCATCACCCATTGGTCCTGATTGAGAGGATGCTGACAGTTAATAGAAGCCTGGAATCTCTGAAATAAAAGATAAGTTAACTTTTAGCTTTGAACTTGGACCAGATTCAAAACTATTTACAAAAGATAAAATGTTCTATATATTTATTCTTACAGGCATTATAACACTCATTTTTTTTTTTTAGCTTCTATTTTTCTAAGCCTTCCATTAAAAGTATAAGGGGCTGGGGTTGTGGCTCAGTGGTAGAGCACTTGCCTAGTATGTGTGAGGCACTGGGTTCGATTCCAGGCACTGCGTGTAAAATAAAATAAAGGACCATCGACAACTTAAAAAAAAAAATTAGAAAAAAAAAGAGTGTGAGTCAAAGCACTTAACTTTAGCATTTCAGATTAATAGTAGTTGTTTATAATGAAAACAACAAAAACCCCTTAGTACTTCTTATACACTTTCATCAGAAAGAGAAAGAAAATATGAAGGTGTGGTCATGTAATAAACATACTAGTGTTATCACTGAAGAACAAGACCTTCAGTAGAACCATCTCACCTGCAGTATCACAGCTCAGAAACATTTTGCAGCATGGCAATTTGACCTTTTGTACCATAGAACTGAACTCAAACCCCAGTTGTGGAACCTGTGAGCTTTGGCCCATTTGTGTAACCTCCGAGTATGTGTGTGTAATCTCTGACATTCTATGAAGGAGGTGTATCATTGCAAAACAGAATATACTTCCCACATAGAATGGAGGCAATTAAACAGGATAAGCTACCAGTACAATGACTCTTCCTTGTATCTTCATTTTATAGGTCAAAATACAGAAATAAGTTTTTTTGCCAAGAGCACAGCAATTTATAGATAAAGCTGAAATTAAAATCCTCTTGATTTATGAGTATACAAACTTGGGAAGAAAAGAAAAGATTTAAGTAAGTAGTTCTATTGGGAATGATGATAATTTATTACTATCCTGTATCTCTTGATACATAGCATTCCTTAGCAGGCTGATGAGGCGGCAATGATATCAAGTATAATGTTAAACTTTATATAATCAAAGAAACAAAAAAAGCCGCTACTGAAAGAGACTAATAGTTATATTTCAAAATGCATCTGTATACTATCTTATAATTTCAATTAAATGGTGTCTTCAATATTATAATAGTAGACAAATCATACTTTCCCTCTAGCCCTGTTTCCATCTCCCAACACCATTAGACACTAGAAAAAAAATTAAAAACCCCCAACTATTTAAAATGACTTCATTGAAAAAAATGATTGCTTTTTCTAATGACAAAAAGTTTAAATGTCAACTGAAATATCATCTGCTATACGTAACTTATCAGCTTACTCTTTTTGATATTGGCAAATGTGAGCCAAGGGGGGCTGTGCTTTGGACAGGAAAGGACACCACTGCTGCTGTACTGTCTGATCAAATACACCCAGCCCATGTGTTCACAGCACACCACAGCATCCCTCTTTAAAGACACTGACCTATAGCAGATCTTAATCAGTGACTGCTTTCACTAGAGCAAAAACTTCTAGAAGATTCCTGCTGACTGGTGTCCTCTCCCCATTTTTACAAAAATTGCATATTAAGGCTGAATGAATCTTGAAAAATTTTTAACTCTGAATTGTTACTTCCTTCTTCAAAAATCCAAAGCTTCCCATTAAAAACATCATGTTTAAATTAATGGCTAATTCTTACCCAGAGCACACTTGATTCTTTCATTTTGCTTTACCTGAGACAAAGCCCATCAGGATGCAATGTGTAATGAGGACACATTTTCCTTGGGAACTAAGATTTAAGTGCCATTTTAATTCTTCTTGCATATTCTCACTATAATATACATTAACTCACAGCACCACCTATCTGTCAATGAAATAGTAGAAAACAAGGTTTACTTTCCACATAATGGCCACATAGCTGGTCTATACAATTTATTGTGAAATTAAGTCCAAAGCTTAAAAAAGAAGATAATCTAAAAATAGAAGTTCCATTTGACATTTTATAAAATACCTTCTAATGGTACATATAAATGTCTTGGTCATGTTTTAAGTAAAAGTCTGGTCAGCAGGATTCATATGATTTTAATCTAGCACAAAACAATGAATAAAAAAATATTAACTAGAAATTGCAATTAGGGAGAAGCAGACTTATAAATCCCAATAATCATGGGTATTTTCATGCCTAAGTGTTAGCTGGAATGTGTGTGGCTTTTCCTTAGAAATATCTTAGTCATTTCCTGTTTAAATAGGAAACAAGGAAGACAGTTACAGCATTTCATTTTTCTATCTTTTCTGTGTTTTGTTTTTGTTTTTGCAGTGCCAGGGATTGAACCCAGGGCCTCATGGGTACTAAGCTAATGCTCTACCCCTGGGCTACATTCCCAGCCCTATCCTTGCTGTGTGATACCTATATTAGAACTAAATCAGACCAACTGTGTTGTCCACAAATAATTAAAATGTCTTCACCTGACACCACATGTGTGTGCAGTTCACAATAGTTCTACAAGACAGGTTGAGCTGGGCATCACCACCCATCTCAACTACAGGGAAATGATACACGCTGTTTATGGACATTAGTCCATGGAAAACAGAACTCCAAGTCAAAGATTATTTACGGCTGTTTCATGCTCAAATGCTCAAAACAACCAGGAAAAAAAAAAAAATAATCCCTCCAAATAATTTCCGCAAAACTGACTCTGGAGCTGGGTGCAGTGGCACATGCCTGTAATTCCATTGACTCAGGAGGCTGAGACAAAATGATTGCAAGGTCAAGGCCAGCCTCAGCAACTTGGCAAGACCTTGTCTCAACAAACAATCAGAAACACAAAAAGAGCTGGGGATGTGGCTCAGTGGTAAAGTACCCATAGGTCATATCCCCAGTACCAACAAAATGCCACACCAAACCAACGATGACAAAAAACTGACCTTGAAAATAATGTAATTTATAAAAGTTATTTTGAAAATTGCATTTGGTTACAAATTTCAGAAAGTTAATATGACAAAAGTTTCAAAGACTATTTTTAAAAATGGCTATTAAAATTGAATAACTAAATTAAGGATTTTCTTAGCAATTGATACACTGAGGCACTAATTATTTTAGAAGACTCTTCTGTTAGGTCTTAATAGTTCATCATGTCATACCTAATGTAACTTGTACCATACAGTCTTTCTTCTGGTGATTTATGCCAGTAGATACTAGTGGGAGCCTTTCTGTGACTGGTGAATTAAATTACCATTCATTACCATCCAATTTAAATACAGTTATCTCACCAGCATAGCAGAGTTGCCAAACCAGAGAAACTCTTCTAACATTGATAATGCATCTGTTCTTCTTGAATATTCTCTTCTACTCCTTCCAAAGTTTAACATTCCTTATCAGCTACTTTTCTAATATTATTCTATTTCAATTCCTCCTTTCCTCCTGTAGAGTTCCTTTTAATATGTTCCTGAGAACTTACTAGTCTACTTCAAGGTTTTACTTAGACTTCTGTCCTAATATTCAAAGTAAAATAGAAATTTTTATACTTTCTCACATTTTATTGCACAATACAAACTTGATTAAAATGTACTAAGAAACAACATTTATGTTTAAGTCAATATTAACTTAAAGTGTATGGTAGGAGACAACAATTTATTTAAATATATTTCAACTCAGCATGAAGGCGAGCATTTACTTATGAAAGTTTAAATGAAGAAAGGTCTTTCACTGAATCAACCAACTTTTTTAGTTTCTCTTTCTCCATTTTTGTGCCTTTTATCTTCTTAAAAGTTCACAGTGTTACAGAAGTGAAAAATAAAACTGATAGAAACATATATGGCTAAAACACTTATGGCTTTATATACATCAAAAATTTAATAATGTTGCCACAACCCCTGATACAGTGTGATCCTTATTTATTTACTACTATGCAGAATAAACTTCTGTACATATTAAATTGTTCAAGTATATCTACATCAGTGTTTTGTAAAAAAAGAGGTCCCACTGCTAACTCAGCAGAAATCTCTTTGAAGACTACTTCTAACTCCAACACAACTAAGGCAGAATGTTATTTTCGAATGTACAACATATTGTACATTCTAAAATATCCCAAAATGTTCAAATGAGCCAAACGTAAACTATGATTTTTACCTAGTTTAATACCCCTTCTGTACAGCACCAGAGGTTAAAAATGGATCTTGCTAAGTAATGTTCTTTTTTCTTTATTAGGAACAGTTTATCTCTACTTATTTCTACAACAATAAACCCAAATTGAAAATAAAGACAACTTGGATCAAATGCTTTCCCCTTAAATAAATAACATTTACGTTCTTTCATACTTAAATACTTAATTATTTTCTTGGTAAAAGCTATTCAATTAGCCTCTTGATTTAGAGGATTAGGCAAGCCGGATAGGATTCTCTAGGTTTGCTTTAAAACTTTCTAGAAACTTGGTAGCCAGTTCGTCATCGACCATGCGACTGTCACTTGACATTGTGACTGTTATGAGTTGGTGCTGCTGCAGTTTGGCATTCCCCTCTTCATCTTCAGTGAGCTTGAGGACAGGTCGGAATCTCCCAACAGCCAAAATGCAGGCCTGTGGAGGGTTGATCACTGCAGTGAATTCATCGATGCCGAACATCCCCAGGTTGGAAATACTAGAGAGGGAAAAGGCAACAGAAGGTGGTGCGAATGCAGCCAAAATGTTTTCCTTGAAGCATCTTTTTTTATTTTACTAAAAAACAATACCTGTGCTACTGAACCTTCTATCGAGCTATTCAAAGACCTAAAGGATATGTACCGGCATGCATGTGAACATTATATCTATTATCAAACATTTAGCATTGAACTGGAGGTCCTAGGCAGTGAAATATGGCAAGAAAAAGAAAAGGTATAAATACTAGGGGGAAAAAAAAAAAAAAAGGAATCGCTATAACTTGATTATGTACATGGAAAATTGAAGGTTCTAAAGATAAATTATTATTAAGTGAATTTAAGTCACTAGATAAAAACATAATTATATATGTTACAATGATTAGATCATGAAATTGAAAAAGTTGCCATTTATAATGGTATTAAATACCAAATATCAAGAAATAAATTTAATGAAATAACATGAGATCTCTACAAAGAAAATTATAAAATATAACTGAAAGGACTCAGAAAACTCAACAAGACTTAATACTTGGAAGATGATAATTTTCCTCCAGTCAGTCAAGAGTTAATGGAATCAAAATACGACCAGGGTGGGGAGTATGTACATGTGTGCTGTATGTATGTATAAAATATGTCAAATTGATTTTAAAATTTATTTGGAATATAAAAAGCTAGAAAAGACAATCTTAAGAGTAAAAAAAAAATTGAAAAATTTTCCTGAACATATATCAAAGCTATTATAGTTTAGTTATAACAGAACAAGAGACAGAAAACACAATAATTAAGCATACCAATACATACATGGTCATGTTCTCAATGCTATGGAAGAGAAATTAAATTTCAATATATGTTGGGTTCAATTAATATCCATATGAGGGAGGTAAAGAAAACCCTGACTTCTACTTCATTATCATGTAAAAATCCAATTTCAGATGACTATGATCTACATGTGAAAAGTAAAAATAGAGTGCTTCACAATGATCACATAGAAGAATTAACTTCATGACTATTGGTCAGGCAAAAAGTTCCCAACAAAATAAATAGTGCCAAACAAACAAACAAACAAAAAACTGATAAGTAGAAATCATTAAAATTCAGAACTTCTGTTCATTAAAAAAAAAAAAAAAAATCACCAAGGAAGACAAAAGGCAAGCCACATGGGAAAAGGTATCTGAATTAGTACCTATCCTACAAAGGCCTGTGTATCTGGAAATAACAATAACTCCTACAAATAACTTTCAAATCTGGATGCAAGACTTCAACAGCACTTTATCTGATGAGTTACAAGATACCCAAATGGCTGAAAAATGCAAAAGTACTCAACCTTATTAACTGGCATTTCCCTGACAATAAAGAGCACCACTACACCCTGGAAGAATCATTAAAATTTAAAAGATAACATTAAAATGTTGGCAAGAATGTAGAGCACTGGGAATTCTGAAGTACTGCTGAAGGAAGTATAAATTTGTATAACCATTTTGGAAGATTATTTGGCAGTATCTATTAAAGCTTTTAATTCAAGAATTCTACCTTTGGGTCCATAGTGTCTATAAAGCAAAAATGTCATATAGTTACCATAATACACTAGTAAGAACACCCATTGTATCATTATTTTCAATAGTACCAATCTGGAAACATAATACCTATCAAGAGGAAAATGGACACTAGCACTTTTATACAACAGAATGCTATATTCTACAATAAGGAATAAATGGCTGCTTCACATAACAATCTGGTGAATCTCTCAGACATTAGTGATGAGTGAAAAAAAAAATAACATCAGGCAATAAAGAATACATAGCATTTACATAAAACCCAAAACCAGCACAGTGGTTACCTTTGGGGGGGGGGGGGATGATAAAAGGAGGCTTCTAGGATATTAGTGATGTTGTCTATCTTTCTTTGGGTGATTACTCAAGTTTCTTTACTTTATAAAATATTCAAGGTATGCTCAGTGCATTTTACTGTATGAGACACTTAAAAATACAGCTGATAATAACTAACACAGAGATCATAAATAGAAAGAAAATAGCTGAGGTTTATAAATGTATTGTATTTATAAATTCATTTAAAATAAAAGTTCATTATTTAAAATAAGATTTTAAGAACCTGAATGTCATTTCGTGCTGGTCACTGTCCATTCAAAAGAATGCTTAGTTCAATGCTAATAGGTTCTTATAACTAATAGGTTCTTATAGCTAATAGGTTCTTATAACATGACTAGTCTAAAAAATATTTTTACATATTCTGTTATCTAAATAAATTATGTAATATTTTGCTTAAATTAAAAAAATTTTTCAGATAAATAAATAAAACAGGTTGACATGGACTTCATAAATTATATCTATTACTTTGATGCTACTGATAATTAAGAATTTAAATCTTACCTAAAAGATCCTCCTTGGTATTCTTCAGGTAACAATTTTCCATCTCTTGCTTTCTTTGATAATGCCTGAGAAAAACAAAAAGTGAAGCATGACAACAAAAGAATGTTATATATTTAATCATGTCACTTGAAATATTTGTACAGGCTACACTCTTACCTTTACTCTCACAACTTTACAACTTGTTAGATATATATACTTTTCTTTAATACAATTTTAAGGACAAACAAGTTACAGATAACCCAAGGAGCTAAAGTTCAGCAAGTCCTTAATTTTTTTTCAAATAACCCTGTACATCAATAATATGCATAATGTTTCAGTATCTTCTATATACACAAAAATTTTCCTTGTAAGACAAAAATTCTAATCAATACATCCGCCAAAATTTACTTAATCATTTTCCTAGTGTTGTAATTTGGTTCACTGATTTCTTCTGAACTATTCCAGATAAATTTTCAGAAGTGGAATTATAGTACACCTCAGAGAATGGCTTTTTTTAAGTTCTGGAAACCATAGGTGAAACATTTCCTGAATGAACCAGTCACAAGGAATATAAAAATTACTAGTTTCACATCACACTTTTTATACTGATTTCTAAAAACTGAGAGAAATGCCAGATGACACAGGCATTTAGAAAACTAGTTAAAGTTTCCTCACACTTGCACTTGAAATTAACTGTAGTTCTGTCAACCTTTATTTCTCAATGCTTCAAAAGCAAAGGACAGAGGTTGAGTCATTATACACAAAAATTAATAATTAATTTATGAGGGGAAGGGTAGAAAAAAAAGTAAAGTCAGTCATTTGGGTAGATGAAATAAATTTGGGGCTTACTTAATACTTTGTATTACTTAGCCAACATTACAATTACAGTTGAGAACTATTTAATTTTAAACCATTAACAACTTTTAAGTCCAAAAGTGATCAACACATTATTGTGACTTACTGCTAACTGAAACAATTAGAAATTTGGATAGAGTTACTTATAATTCTACATGAATTTAAAGCGAAAATGAAGATAAGCTTTGACTTGTATAATGCTTGGAACATTAGAACAATTTACAAACATATTATCTTTGGCCTTTAAGCAATATAATTATGCACATGGTTTGAACAAACATGTATCACATGAACTTTGAAAGACTTTTTTTTTTTAAAGGCAGATGATCTCAACAGATTCTAGTGAATTATCAGGCAGGAATAAATAAATTTTATTTATTTATTTATTTTTTCACGAGCTCTATTATTATTATTATTATTTTTTGCATTACAATTCTTAATACACCTTTATACCACAATTTATCATATCTCTGTATACAAGTCTCTGTAGATCATCTATCAGCAGGATATATCTGTCAATGAACTTTAATAAGAGACCAAAATATGTATAAAGTCTGCTGATTCTGAAACTTTGTAATTCTAACTGGGATCTCCTGGGAATGTGAACTTTAAAACTTTAAAGTGCATGTTACCTGAAGAATCCAGCTGAAAGGAAAAGAGGCTAGCAAATATTTCTACAATAGTTCATAACCTTTGCTAATTCATTCAAAAAAATTCACTGGGTCCTTATGAGGTAAACTTTGTCTCTGCCTTTTAAAACTTTACAATTAATGAAGAATTAAACTTAGCATGGGATCTAGGGCTTTCTACTATGTTACTTTATTCATGGAATTACACAGTTGAACTTGGCTGGCACCTGCAGTTACTGATGGTCAAAAAGTGCACAGGTAGCACAGGTGTCTTTAATGAGGGATCCACAGATCTACAAACTCTTCAAAAATTATCAACAAAAGTTTTTATTGAAAAAAAAAAAACTTAAATAAGTTCATTGAGAAACACCAAAGCACAGGAGAGTGCAATTATTACTGAAAGAAAAAATGCAGCTATACTTGGATACCCAGGCAGATGCTGTTTTCTGCAGAGCAGGACAGATCCATTATGATCTTGCTTGATTTGCATTGATCCCCAATCTTTATTGGATATGAAGGACACACACACACATACACTCACTCTCTCTCTCTTTTTAGGTTTCTAATATAAACTCTAGTTCATATATTAAAACAGACACATGCATATAGACACACACACACTCTTTCTCTCTCTCTAGGTTTCTAATATAAACTCTAATTCATATATTGAAAGAGACGCATTCACATGCACATGCATATAGACACAAACATATGCTCAAGGTTTCTAATTGTTGCATAAATGCTTTTTAATGACTGCTATTTCACAGCAGCTAAATGAACATTATCCTTGTGAAAAAGACATTAAACACATAGTTTTGAAGCCATAGTTACAACAATACCACCCCAAACTTATTTATTTTTTAAAAAATCATGTTTATATCTTCTAAACCATTTTAGCAAGAAGCTAATTTTGGAAAAAATCAGGTCTCTCGCTCTGTACACTAAAGAACTGCTATGCTAATATACCAAGCATGGTGCCTGCTTCTCATGAAAAGCCTCAGGGTGTCTCCAAGCCGCCTTATTCCTAATTGGAACCAGGGGTGATTATATGGATAAAGTTTGTTATGCTTTGTTACCATGTGATCCACGGGCCTGGCATGAGACATGACCAGCAAAAGTGCTCCACACAAGAATGTATGGGGTAGACCAATCAAATCCAATTTTTGGCAACTAGGAGCAAGAGAAAGAAAAAGTGGTGCCAAACAAGGAGAATTTGGAAAGTAAATAAATAAAAAGAAAGTAAACAGTAAGAAGGAAGAGAGAGGTAGTATGGTGTAGAGGTGATTAAGGACGAGTTCTAGGATCAAACTGGCTAGGTTTAAATAAATCCTCACTGCTACCATTACATCACCCTGGGCTAACGGGATTAAATAAAATACTGAGCCCAGTGCCTGGCACATCAGAGGATCAAGGGAGGAATGTTGATCACAGACAGCAGGGTGGGAAAGAAGCAGGTAGAATGGAAAGCACAGAGGAGTACTCAAAGCTTAGCAAGCCTTAGAGGTGCCAAGTACCAGGAAATGCTCAAGGACTACCAGGGACCATTACATTCCAAAGGTTCTGACTGCCTTCCCACTGCAGTCAGGCCCCGCTGGAGGCTGCTCAGAGTGCCTCACTACCTCTAAAACAGGCTTTCAGACTCAAGGAAAGAGAATGCTGATATAACTGTTTTACATATTACAGTTGCTAAACTGCTACATTGCCCAGAAACAAAGAAACCATACACATGGTTCATTTTTAAAATCTAATGAAGGGCTGGGGATGTGGCTCAAGCGGTAGCACACTCGCCTAGCATGAGTGGGTCGCTGGTTTCGATCCTCAGCACCACATAAAAAATAAAGATGTTGTGTCCACCGAAAACTAAAAAATAAATATTAAAAAATTCTCTCTCTCTCTCTGTTAAAAAAGTAAATAAAATCTAATGAATATAAAAGTAAATCTCTAGGTCTATTGTTAAGGTCGATAACTAACATTTAGATAGTACCTTATACTTCACGTGTAATCAACACTTAATCTCATTTGAACTTCACAACAACACTGAAATGCATGTATTCTCAGTGCTGCTGAGAAACTTTGATGAATAAAAGGCATGTATACAGCCCCTGTATTTGCTGATTCACTTTCCACAGCTTCAGTTAGTTACCCATGGTCAACCTCAGTCTGCAAATATTAAATAGAAAATTTGAGACATAAACAGTAAGTTTTCAACTGTCTGCTGTTCTGAATAGCAGGATAAAATCTTGAACCAACCATCCTGCCCAGGGCATGAATCATCCCTTTGTCTAGTACATGTACACTACATATACGTACATCCCCACCAGTCACTCAGCTTATCTTGGTACTAGATCAACTGTCCCAGTATCACAGTGCTTATATTCAAATAATTCTTATTTTACTGAAAAATGGAGGCCCTAGGGGCAAGAATAGTGATGCTGGCCATTTTATAATAATATACTATTGTAACTTCATTATTAGTTGTTAATCTCTTACCACGCCTAATTTATAAATTAAACTTTATCATGGGTATGTAGGTATAGGAAAAAAAAATCCAGCATATTTAGGGTTGTTTCATGCATCCACTGGAATACATTCCCATGTGGGATAAAGGGAAATCACTGTACAATGTCTCAGTAAATCAATCTATTACTTTGACTCTTGACTTGGACAAATTAATATGACCCTTCAATTAAGAAAAAGTTGCATTTTCACCCATGCACACATACTCTGCAAATCTTCAAGAGAGGAAAAAACACCTTAAAATATCAACTACATTGAGTTTACCTTTAATTACATCTAAGTCTAAAATTCAAGTAAGCTCAACATTTAGGGGTATGCATTTAAAACCAAAATAACTTCCATCCACTTATTTATTTTGGTCAAAGAGTCTTACACATTTATACTGTCAGCTCACCAAATAAGTCTTATCTTCTTTTTATTCATCTTATAACTTGTTCTACCACTAAACATATAATAGGTCCTTACTAGATGGATAAAGAAAATAAATCAGCTACTCAAATGAATCTGAAGATTTCAATATAAACACTTCAAGACCTATGATACTTCAGCCAAGAGATACCCTTGCAAATTACTGAGGCTGGAAAGGCTGACCTACTGCCTGTATTCCTGCTTATTCAACAAGATTTTTAGTGGAATCAGATTCCTCCATATTGAAGCTAAAAAAGAAAACTGCTTTTCGAGATATAGGAAAAACAAAGTACCTTGCTTCTGGAATGCTAAGTACTTTTACTGGTCTCAATTTTAAAGAGGAAATGAATAAAATAAACTTTACGAATGGAATATTGTTAATACTGAGGTCTGGCTATGATTATTTCATAGAAATGTAGTTTCAGCTTTATTTCAACTTTAAATAACCTAATACTATCTTAAGCAGCATCCTTAGAATTGAATTCTGGATTCTGTGAAATAAAGCTTGTATCTGGAACTTTTTAATAAAGTAGCCTTCTTATTTATCTGTATTTTACTTCTGAGTTTTTGATTATTAAATTTTCTTAAATTGGGTCATATCTGAATAAAAACTTAAACGTTTATAATTCACAGATGAGAATCATTTGAAATATCCCCTCCCCCACAAATTACGGTGTAACCAGAATGTTAAGACTTTATTGGAAAGGAATTAAGTGAAAGGATCTGCTAACAATTTGAAAGCACAGTATTTGTAAGACATACCTTTACAGAGTCAGCAATTTCCTGTATACCTTTAGCAGCAGCATCTTTTATGATTGGTGTAATCAAACCTTTATCTGTTGCCACAGCCACTGAAATGTCAATAGAGGGCAGTTGCTTCGGGCCCTCTCCATCCCAGCTTACATTTACTCCTGGCATTTGCTGAAGTAGAAAAAAACATGTTATTAAAACTTTAGACTGAGGTGATTACAGAAAAATAATTAATGTTTTATCTATTTTCCAAAGTGAATATAGTTGGATAGAAGAAAATACATAACATGGTTCCAATCTCTATGTTGTTTATTATTTATGTTTAAGAAAAATAATTAAACACATATTTTTTGAAGTAAGCTTGAGGAAATCCTGATGGTGTATGTTCTGATCTTTTTACATCATGGCTAAAAAAGGGTTTCCTTTATTAAAACTAATTGTCAGAAGGCAGTTAATGATCATTATGCTTCCTACCTCATGATACGCAATATGACCTTGAGGAGGAGAGGGGAGCAGAAAGGGTTAGTGATATTCAACTACATTCCTTTGGCATAAAGGAAGCCTGACTTTTTAGCACAGCTCTGGAGTATATATTAGCAAACCCTCAATAAATGACTACCCAATTTAAAGAGGTTTCCTAAGCTTCATAAGATACATACTACATATGAGCACGTACACATTTAACATACAAACAACTATATTGAAAGATGGGGGGAAAACCAGATGGGATGAACATATGCATGGAAACAGTGCATTGTTGTCAAATATCACAAGATGAGAAATAAAAATAGACATAAAAAGCTAATTTCTCATCCCCGAAATTCTTTTTTTTAAATGTATTTTTAGTTGTCAACAGATTTTTATTTTAGTTATTTATATGTGGTGCTGAGAATCAAACCCAGGGCCCCATACATGTCAGTCAAGTGCTGTGCCAGTGAGCCACAACCCCAGCCCTCATCCCCAAAACTCTTTGCTTTCTACAGAATAAGATCCAAGCTGTTCACTATGCCATTTAAGCACGGCGGTGCACAATTTTGATTCCACTGTACTGATGTCACTTTACTTGTGTTGACTTCCCTAAGATGAATTCTCTCTTGGTCCAACCTCTCACTGCCATGCTGGGCTTGTGCACATTTCAGGATGGCCTTCACATCATTTCTTCATTGCTCTTTACATTTCTCCATCTTTTAAGGCTCAGATTATTCATTGATTCAACAATGAGATAATGTCAAAAGAATAAAAAATGAGGTTCAAACCCCTGTAAGATTTTTAAATTCTGACAACACTAAAGTAAAACTAAAACCCAAGCCAAATCAAAAACCCCTCACAAATGAAGACTATCTGGCAAATAAATTCAATTAGGAAATTATGTAATAAAAAACCATGGGACACGGTCTAAGTTGCAGTCAAAGCAAAATTTATTATAATCTTAAGCCTTGTTAATAAAAATAGAATTAAAATGAATTACACATTCAGTTTTCTAACCAAATATTTCTAACCAAAATGAGGCTAAGAAAATAAAGGAAAAAATGCAAAATAAAATAAACTGAAAACACAAAACATGCAATTATAGAAGCAATACAGAGTTTCAAATAGCTTCGGACAATGAGGACATTTAAATAATTATAAGTTGATTTTTCTGGGAACATACAAGTTTTCATAATTGGTTTAAGATAAAATTAAAAATTAAAGAGATCAATAACTATAGGGGGAAAACATAGAAAAACAGCCAGGATGCCCTCCTCAAAATAGAACTAGGTTCAAAATTTCACTGGTGAGTTCTATAAAACTTTAAGAAATAAAAATCCTTATTGAAATGAGCACACAGAAAACAAATAAAAGAAAGACCTGACAAAGCTAGTATAAAATTTAAATCACAATTACTTATAGTTTCTGATATACAAAAGAAACATTAGCAAACAGCTAATGACCACTAGAGAGTCATTTTTAGGGAATATAAAAATAATTCGTGATTAGAAAAGTCATTACTATAGTTCAAAATATTTGGTTAAGAGAAAAGCCATATGACATTAAAAAAATATTGAAAAGGCTTGCCTTCAAAGTTCTCCATTATTGTATTTTTTAAGAAATAAAAATGAATCCATTTTAAGTGCAATTCAAATACATTATTAAACAAGTAGCAACTTAGAAAACAGCCTCATTACAGAGAGAAGGCAGGATGGAAAATGGCATTGAGTGGGAAGGCAGGAAGCTGGGCTCTAGATTACATCTCCAGCCAGCCACCTCCACTCCACCTGTCTTCCTGCTATCTACACTGCAACACCTATTAGGCTCCTCAAACTTAATACACCCAAAAGCAAACTAGAGACTCCCTACCTCAAACTTGCTTCTCTCCCCGTTTTCCCAGTCTTAGTAATGGAGTAAGTCTACCCCTCCCACTGCTTGAAAAGAACTCCTTATTTTTTCTCCCATGTCCCATATCAAATCCATTAGTAAGTGCCGTTGGCTCTACTTCTGAAATGTAACCAAAACCTCCCATTCACTGCAGCTCCTGCTACCCCGAGTCGGAGCCACGGTCATCTTCTGCGGCCTCCTCACTGGCTACAGCCACACATGACCAGAGCGGCCCCCCACCTTTAAAAGTAAGTCTGATCACATTAGTTCTTTGCTTAAAACTTCCAAAAGCATCTTTCTCATTCATAATAAAAGCACTCGTCTTCACCACGGCTGAGAAGGCCTCAAGGAGGCCTTTGGTTTCCCTTTGAATCCTTCTTTTTTGCTTCTTTAAAAATCTCTCCACTCTTGACACAGTACACCCTCAGTACACCCTCAGGGCCGTGACTCTGGATAACACAATCCAGTCCTCGGAGCCTCTGGGTTGCTGCTCCCTTGTCTGGAGTGCTCCTCCACCACATACCTATTTTGCTCACTCCCCCCCTTTTGTTGATTCCTGCCTCTGTTATCTGTAGCCTTGCCAGAGAGGCTTTCCTTAACTCTTAAAAAATAGCACCTAGTATTTTGGCTCTTTACCCTGCTTTCTTTTTCTCCTTAACATTTTCACCACCTGACATGTTTACTGGACCCCCTCTAGACTATCATACCCATGAGAGCAGAAACTACATAGGCTTTTGTTCATTACTCTCTAATGCTTAAATGCTTAAAATATATTTAGCATAAGATAGTGGTTCAATTAGTATTTGTTTTTTGATACTTGGGATTTAACCCAGGACCCTTTAACCACTGAGCCATATTTATTTTATTTTTATTTTGAGATAGGGTATCACTAAGTTTTTTAGGGCCTTGCTAAATTGCTGAGCCTGGCCTCGAACTTATGATCCTCCTGCCTCAGCCTCCCAAGTAGCTGGGATTATAGGTGTGCACCACCATACCCGGTTCTTCAATTAGTATTTGTTGATTAAATGGTCTTTAAACTGCTAATATTAGTTTGTGAGCCCCTTTGATTTTCAATTTCTTCATCTGTAAAACAAGGGAGTGAGATTAAATTATAGGATATTTCTAGCAATAAAATCATAAAATTTTTATTAAAAATGAGTTTTATTCTTTTTTTTTTATAAAAATCTCAAGACATGAGACTATTTTAGAAGCCAAAATTATTTTGGGGTTTGTCACTTACTTTAAGAGTAACAGCTGCTGCCTTGATGATAAAGTCATTTACTGACACTTTAATGTCATCTGAAAGAAAAATACACATTAAAATTAGTATTCACATTAAAACTTCTACCACTGACCTTTACAATGTCAAACTTGTAAATTATGAACTGCTCTGACAAACAATGATAAAAAATATCATAGATGTTTATTTTCTGGTTTAGTTAATAAATTTCCCCTAATGAGAAAAACTTATGTTTATGATTCCTAGATAAAGAATAAATGTAAAAGCTCACTTCTAGGGACTGAGGGTGTATCTTAGAGATAGATCAATATAGGCCTAGCATGCTCAAAACCTTTGATTCAATTCCCAGCACCCCCTCCCCCCAGGCCACACACACATATAATATCATTTCTGGATCTTTATTACAATTTTTAAAAAGTACTTGGATATTATGCACGAGAAGTTTAAGGATATATAACAACTATAATTAGAAAGAAAGGAACCAACTCCCATATCTCTAAAAAGACAAACGTTCTCTCTGTGTTGTTTGTAACCAGGAAGTTTACAAGATGATTCTTTTTTTTCCCTTTCTCTTCAAATGTCCTTATTCTGTGCATGCTTTGTAATATATTAACTATATAGAAGAGCAGTATATGTAAATGCTTTAGATAAACAATTATATGTATTTATAGGGTATGTTGAAAAATTACTTCTTACTAATGGGGGTAAAAAGAATTTAGGATGGCCACAATATTAAACAAGAGCTTCTTTTAAACTCAACACGACAGGATATGGCAAATGCCAAAGATGAAGCAATGTTGGCACAGGTCCTAGTGCAATGAATAAAATGAGGTTCTCTGTCTAGATTTATGGTGAATCCATTTGAATTTATTTCCTCCCAGTATACATAATGATTTTAAGATAAAGCTGGGGTCCCCTCCCTTTCCACAGAACTGATCAGAGCTAAAGTATTTGCTTTATACCTCTGCTTTTGCAATGGTATGAAGGTGTTGGAAAATATAAACCACACCCAATTCTTTCTTGCAAGAGATTCTAGAAAAAAATCTAGTCAATGGTATGTGGCAAGACACACATATCCTCTTAATATAGTATCATGGAATTTTATATGAACAATCGTTCTTTTCGGAAGTATGCTGGAGATTTTAGAAAGAGATTAACTGCCAGGAACTGAAATACTGACAAACTGTCATAGTAAATGTTGGCTCCATGAGAGTATAGCTCATCTAATTCAGATACCCAGAAACATACGAACATTCTGGTTTGTTTGTTTATAATCCCTCTAGGAGTAGAAATATAAATAAATTTTCAGTGTTCAGAGACTTTTAATAGTAACACCACACAAAAGATTTGGCCTGAAAAATTCAAAATACATGCACATGTTTTACCAGTTCATTCCACTTCCTTGCACAGCTCTCCCAGTCTCTTTCTCACTTCACCTACTCTCTGTAAGCATAGAGTGAAACTCTACAGCCACCTAGCTGCTGCTGACTCCCAAATCTACTGGCTAAGCCCACAGTTCTCACCTGGAGTTCTGTCCTCACCATATTCCAACACTTACTTGTAAGCATTCTTGAGTTGGTCAATTTCTTCACTTTGAAACACTTTCACTTACTACTTCCTGTGTCACCATTCTCTCGTGGGTTTCTTCACTATCTACTCACTCAGTCCCTCCTTTTAATGTTGGCATCACCCAAACAGAAACTTTTGGTTTCATGGTTTTGATACCATTTATATGATGCAGAATCCTCCAAATACTATTTCTATCCTAAGCTATTTGCATCTTCAGACTTGTACATCTAATGTCTCATGTGCTATTTCTACCTACATGGCTAACAGGCATCTGAATTCTAACATGTACAAAGGAGATTCTCCTCAAGTTCTTCTGTTTTTAACTTGTTATTATAGAAATTTTGAACACTAATGACACTTACTTAATAGGAAACAGTTTGTAATGATGTACTAATAATGAAAAATAAATGTTTTCGTTGGCATATTGTTGTTAAAAAAGTAAAACAACGAACAAACTTTACAGATATTATAACCTTATATGAGAAAGAGGAATACAGATAATGTGGGTTCTCTGAAGACTCATGAGAAAATCCTTAATTTATCAAACTATGTAAAGATACTAAGTTAATCCGTACCTCCATTGAAATATTACTGCTTCTTGACTCAGGAAGAAAACAGGAAAATTATTTATGACTAAGAAAGTATGATTGGAGATATGAGGACTGCTTCCATAGTTAATTTTTTTGTTTTGTTTTGTTTTAATTGGTTACACATGACAGTACAATGATCTTGACATATCATACATTTGAATCAGATGGGATATAATTTCTCATTTTTCCAAGTGTACAGGTTGCAGAATTACATTGGTCAGATAGTCACGTATATACCCACAGCAATAATAATGTCTATTTTATAATTTTTTGAATACAAACTGACTTATCTTATCACTCCTGCTTTTAGTCACAGTGTAGAAAGCTGCAAGAAAGTCATTCCCACCCTAACAGGGTGGAGAAAAAAGCAGGATAAATTACAAAACCCTAACTTTTCTGAGCCCTTTAGGGAGCTGAGGGTACAAAGCCAAGAGATGAACCGAATGCCTAAGGCAGATAATCTGCTCTGAGGAGACTAACACAGGAAATGATTACCCACTGTCAGGGCACCGGAGTGTATAGGACAGAGTGTGTCACCATGTGCATGAACAGACGGGGAAGATCAGCAGAGATGGAAACTATGAAAAACATCCAAGTGGAAATCCAGGGAGAAAAACACATGCTATCAACATAAATAATACTTTTTGTCAACTTTTATAGACTAAACATAGCAAAGAATCTGAATTTCAAGTTACATAAATAAAAATTATCCAAACCGAAGCATAACGAAGAAAAAAACGGTGCACCAAAAGAACAGAGCATCGAACATGTTCAGATAATCCAGTCTAACACTATAACTTGAATCTCAAAGAGAAAACACACAAAGTAGAAGATACAGTTAATAATTCTGGAAATTTTCCAAAATTAGGGTTAAAGACAATAAACAAGAAGCCAAGAAAAATCCAAACAGGATAAATATAATCAAGTGGGGGAGAAATCCTAGGTATTTAATAGTCAAATTGCTAATAGAGAAAATCTTAAAGAAAACAAGAAGGGGTAAAAGCATACACCGGGGAACAAAGATTAATAATAGCAGCAGACATTTTGCAAGCCAGAGGACAGTGGATGATATCTTTAAAAGTTTTGAAACAAAAGACCCTTAACTCAAAAGTTTACACCTAGCAAAATTACGTTTCAAAAATTAAGGTGACATATCCACCAGGATATTCTTTTTTAATCTAAAAAATTACAAAATAACAAGCGTTGGTATGGATGGGAAGAAATTAGAACCCTCACACACACTGTTGACAGGAATGCAAAATGGTGAACCATACCTGGGCAACCAGGTTCTTCTGCAATTCTGCTACTGGGGACATTTCCAAAAGATTTAAAAGTAGGAATTCAGAGATATATGTGCATTCATGGCAGCCCCATTCACAACAACAAAAGGTAGAAACAATCCATGTATTTACCAACAGATGAGTGGATGAACAAAATATACTGTGTACATACAATGACTTAAAAATGAAGGAAATTTGGATCTGTGCCAGTTCAAAATGAACCTTGAAAACATTACATTAAGTAAAATGATAAGCCAGTAAAACACCAAGTGCTTTATGATGCCACTTCATGTGAGGTGCTTACAGTAATCAAATTCAGAAAGCAGGACCAGGCACAGCCACGCCTATAATCTCAGCAGCTCCTGAGGCTGAGGCAGGAGGATTGTGAGTTCAAAAACCAGCCTCAGCAAAAGCGAGGTGCTAAGCGACTCAATGAGACCCTGTCTCTAAATAAAATACAAAATAGGGCTGGGGATATGACTCAGAGGTTAAGCATTACTGGGTCCAATCCTTGGTACCAAAAAAAAAAAAAAAAAAATTAGAAAGTACAATGGTGGTTGTCAGGGGTTAGGAGAAGAGAGGAATGGGGAGTTAGTGTTTAATATGAATGTACCTAATACCACTGAAATAACATTTAAACATGAAACAACCTAAAGAAAATTCTTTATAGAGAGGAAGAATGATAGCAGATAGCACTTTAGAGTTACACAAAGAAATGAAGACTGTCAGAAATGGAAAAACTATGCATATACAAAGAGACACCCCCCCCCCCCATTTTAAAACTCTTGTTTAAAGAGAGTTGATTTGCTATAGAAAAAAATCAATAAACATGTATCCTATGCTGGCACCACACAAAGAAACAAAGGATGACAATAACAGCACAAAATATAGGACAGAAAAAATGTAAGTAAATGGTTGTAAGGCTCTTATACATAAAATATTGTGATAAAAGTTGAAGGCAGACTGGGATAAGTTAAAGAATTAGATTATAAATTCTAAGGGAGCCATTTCAAAGAGAGGAAATGGCGGGGGGGGGGGAATAAAATAGAAATAAAATACAATCATAAAAAAAAGGGACTCTAAAAGGAGATAAGAGGTGAAAAAAGGAAGAAGAGATAGAACTAAAAGTCAAAGAACAAAATGGTAGATTTAAATCCAACCATTACATCAAATGTGAATGGTCTAAACACCTTAATTATAATAGAGATTGCAAAATTGCATAAGAAATGCAAGAACCAACCATATACTATCGCAAGAAACCTATTTAAATATAAGGACACAGATTTACTAACATTGAAAACAAGTTATCACTTCAGATTATAGAGGTGTTATAATAAGATGTTATCATGAACAACTTTATGCCAATAAATTTGCTAACTCATATAAATGATAAAAATACAATCCCTAAAACACATATAAAACGTTGAAAACAAAATCTCTGTATCTGGTTTTAAAAATTGAATTTGTAGTTAAAAGCTCTATCCAGAAAAAGATCCCAGGCCTAGACAGCTTCACAGCTTCTGCCCAACAATTAAAAAATACAAATCCTACCAAAACTCTTCCAGAAAATGAAGGAGGAGGAAACATTCCCCAACCTATCTAATAAATCTGATAACCCAGAAAAATAATCGCAAGGAAAGACAACTGCAAGCCAGTATTTCTCATAGGCAAGATTCTCAAGAAAATTTTAGAAAATGAAATCAAACAAATATGAGTAAGTTAATGACTGAATGGTTTCATATGTGGACTATCAATTCATTCCATGTGTGAAGTTCAGTCAACAATAACATCAGGGAAAAAGAAAGATTACATAAAAAGATGCACAGAAAACATCTAACAACATTCAACGTCTCTGGAAACGAGGAATAGGAATTTCCTCAATCTGATAAAAGAGCATCTACAAAACTTACTTTTAATGTTAAAGACTAAATGCTTTCCCCCACATCAAGAATTTCTGCTTTTACTACTTATATTCATTATTGCACCAAAAACCTCAACCACTGCAATAAGAAAACAAAACAAAAGGAAAAAGTTTGGAAAGAGAACTAAAACCATCACGCTAAAAATCATTGTCTCTAGGCAACTTCGTTATTAGTTGATTTTTTGGGAGGAGCATTACGAATTTAATAACCTAAAAAAGCATTTTGAAGAAATATAAAATTAAAATTTGTGAAAAAAGAATGACAGATATATTTACAATCAAAAATATTCTTTAAATCAGTTTTTAATTTTAATTTTAAGCTTGCTAAAAATGTTCTGCTCAGATGTCATTATCAAAAAGTATTCAAAATAAAAACAACCATCTAGCTTAAGCAAGTCATGCATGTGTCCTTACAAAAACATTCACCTATGTGTAAGTGAAAGCGTATTAAAAAATTAAGTCAATTTTTACAAACAAAACAAAACAAAAAACCCAACAACATACCCAACCCACCAAACCATAACACTATTTACAGGGCTAGAATGAGGCACAGAGCTGGACTCAACAACTGCATGCCAAATGAATGCACCTTATTGAAGTATCAAAACAGATTCTGTAATAAGCAACACAGAACAGAAATCCTTATTCTGCACAAAGGTAACACATCCGTGATTTATTCATAATAATGTAATATGTAATAAGCTATGGAAATAATTTATTACACATAAGGAAACATAATCAATTCTTTTCTCTAGTACTAAAATATACCTAGAGTGCAATTAGATTATTAAACTGAATTTAAAAGTTACATAAATGTGAATTTTAAAAATAAAGGATTCCATGATGATTAGGTTAGCACATGTATTTATTGCATTAAGTAAATTCAACTTAACTAACCTTTGACCAGATCTTGTCTAACTTTTAAAACTGCTCCAAGGTCACAATCAGCAGTAGCATATGCATGAGGTACAGTACTTTTAGATTCAGTTAACCTCTTGGCAATAACTCTTCGTATATTGCTAGCAGGAATTTCAGTGAATGTGCCCTGAAAACAAAAACAAAAACAAATAAACAAAACCACAGGAATTTGTCCATTAAACCATAAGTAGAATAGAAAAATATAAAATGACTTTCCATCTGAAATCCAGTCTGTGACCCAATTAATGATACTGATTAAAGATTAATATAGAACTGGGAATGTAGCTCAGTTGGTCGAGTGCCTGCACTGCACGCACAAGGCCATGGGTTCAATCCCCAGCACCACACACACACACACACACCCACACACAGATAAATATAGGAAAAGTACTATTAATAACTCTTTGTATAAAGGAAAGGGGAATGTAATAAATCTAGAAGTTTTAGGCTTTAGTATACAACTTTAGGAAAAAGTTGTAAAATTCAAGTCTCAGTTGTAAATAGGATATCTTATGTTACTATGTTTAAGATAATTCAAAAACACATATCAAATGATTAATTCCCCACAGGTGCATGTGATGAGTAAATCTATACATATATACCAGATATTATACATGCATACTCTATACACACACACACATACACATACATATAGAAACATGTATGTGGATTGTAAGCAGCTTTTGTTACAAATTTCATTTAATAAAACTCAAAGCAGCCAATAAAACAACAATTCAACTACAGGAAATTCTTATAAAAAATGGCATAGAAAAGAAAAAGATAATCCAATATAATGGATAGTCTCTCAAATTATTTCTGTTTTGATTTGCAATTTGAAACAAAACCATGAGTATCTTATTCCTAGGAATTAAAAATATAAAGTATGAATAAGATAATAAAATCTTTCTATAACTTTACTATAACTTTTCCATTCTGTTCTTGAACCTCACACAAATGAATGATGGACTTCAAATTACATCTAATCCCTTCCTTTTCCCTTCACTCCATTCCAGGACAGAACTACAATCACCTTAGGATAATATAATGCAACCAAAAATACAGCTGATTTCTTTTTTTTAATATATCATCTCTTATAAAATTAAACATCTATGTTAGCAAAGCATTTGACCAAGTAGAATAAAAGCTCTCTACATTATGTAAGTATCTGAAAGGCTTATCTTTTTCATGTGAACAATCTGCTTTAAAAAAAAAAAACTGGATTTAACTATGAACAAAGTTTTGCATATGCAGTCATGAATCATCAATGTACATTAAAAAATCTGTCTCATAAACTTGTACTGTTTTCATCTCTTTTCAAAAATTATAATGAAATGTATTTCTCCATAAGTAAGAACAGTACAGGTATTTATTCTTTTTATTTTTTTAAGTGCCTATTCAATTTTTAATCTAATTGTCCTGCATTTCTTTGATAGCAAGAGAAGGAATACAGAAAGGAAAAATCTGAAAACAAAACATATAGCTGTTCAACTGCATGTATCTGAGAAGGCAAATATGATTAGTTATATGATTCAGTCTGCACAGTTTTTCATAGTGAGTTTATCAATTCTCTAGCCAAGAATTAAAACATATCCATAAAAGGAGCCAGGGTCAGCTACAAATTATTATTACATCCAAGAAAAAAAAAAGAAAAGACATAGAGTATCATGATTGTAGAGCATACGTATGGTACTAAGGTTGTGGAACTTACAAATTTAAGCTGAATCATAGTTCTAAAGTTCTACATAGAAGTCGGCACAAATTCAGTTTGTGCTAGGAAATCTGCAAGAAAAGCACTGGGAGCATTTTTTTTTTCTTCATAACTTTAAACTATTACTAAAATGGATTGATAAAAATACTCATAAAACATAGCAATTGTCCTAGTTTTCCCTCCCACTTATCTACAAAATGAAAACCTTACTCAGAGTACATTACCACAGCATTGGGTTGTCCAGGAATTGATACTGCTGGGATCATTGGCCGGGGATAAGATGGTCCAGGTGTGGCTTTTGGGGGCAAAGGTGCTATGGGAGTGGTTGGAGGAGCTGGGGCTGGTCTGGATTCAGTAATCTTGCCCGTCTGTTTCAACTGGACCAGGTTGAGAGCATCTCTGGAGATAAGAAGAAATCAGATAACTGTGATTAGCAACAAGATATATAAGACAGTTTTTATAAAATAGAGGCAATATGTGAAAGGAAGTTACAGAAATATAAAGACTAAAATATAATGCAAATCAATTATTTGAGCTAGAAAAGTAAATTCATTTCCTACATATTCTACAGTTTATTATTATTTGTCCAATGGCTACATGTATATTTTCAAAAACCAAATAATAATTAGAATTTTATCAAAGTATCACCTTTAGATATTAATTTTTAAAAATCGAATTAGTCTTTCATTGGAAGGAATCACTTGGTAGATGACCAATTCACTAATTAAAACATGTCCTCATTCTTTATACTTGTGAAATAATTTTTACATAGTGTTCAGAAAATGTCAAGTTATTATATGTATGGCTAAAATACTTACTAAATCATTATTATTCTAGTGTAAATAATATTGTTTATGGCCAGGAAATCATATTATTTCAAATTTGTTCAATAAGCACAATCTAGTGTAATAAATGTAACACAGCATCATTTAAAATAAAAAATAACTAGTTACAGATTTGGTTTGTATCACTCTTAATACAAATTTGTTTTTAAAGGGATATAACTAGACTACTGAAAATGCCAAGACCTCAATTCAGTGTGCTAAGTTATAGCATGTAAAAACTAATGTACAAAACCAATACCTTGTTTGAAAAATTTAATACCTGAATTAAGAAATATTTTTCCAATTTAAGTAAAACTGTTTTCCTTAATATAAAACAACTTCAGTATGACATGAATCTAAAGATTTGAGGGACACCCCTAACACACACCGGAACATTTGGCAGGAAAGAGGATCGTTCCATGCTTTACGTTAGATGCAGAAAGGGGTTCATAAACTTATCTTTAAGTGCAGCTAACTTCCTTATTTAAAAAAATTAAAGAACTAACTTTTTAAATGAGAGGTCATATTGACAAGGAAATCTAAATTGGTACATCGTCTTGGATTCCTAAAAATGGGGGTAAAAGTGGAAATATGAGTCTATCATGTGTGAGGTAAGTGCTTGTGTTATTAATCTTATACCAGTCTTGTGGAAAGGTGTTATTAATCCTCATTTACAGATGAGTAGACTCAAAAAGGTTAAACCCTATGTCTATGTCAGTATTTCTTAGGTACTTACAGAATTCTGGATGTTAGGGGATGCAATGCTAAGCAAGATACTTCCCATCAAGGAGCTTTATTCTATAGGGGTAGTCATACAATAATCACATAAATTAGAATGACAGTGATGAATCTAACATAAAGAAAACAAAGCTGAGCAATAAGTTAGAGAGTGATGGACAAGAAGAGGGGTTATTTTAAAACAGAATGATCAGGGAAGATCTAAACAGATAATATTTGTGCTGAATGATGCAAAGGACAAAGACTCAAGAGTTGGGAAAATTACATTTCTAGGCAGAAGGAAGAACAAGTATAAAGGCAGAAAAAATGTGCTTCTTTTACTAACAGAGGAGGGCTGGCACAGGAGTGTGGTGAACAAAGTAGAGGATTAAAAGATAAAGGATTAAAAGTCAGAGAGGGAGACAGCTAAGAGCTGCCAGGGCTGAGGTCGAACTAAGGTATGGCCAACTCTAAAGCCTACACATCTCCTACCATTTTTTCAGTATCTATGGATATATAGCACAAGTTAAACATAAACTAGGACAGAGTTTTCTCATAAGAATAGAGAAGCAGAGAAGTTAAGTGTATCTAAGTTCAACAGCAATCCTGGGATTGAATAAAGAAATGGAATCTATCTAATCTAAAGCTATAAGTAGGACTTCCAGGTATTTGCTTTCTTAAAGACAGTCACATGTAGAAGCGAAGTAAAGTTTATATGCTTTTATACAACATATATTTAGAGCAATATGTTTGCTTAAATGTTAAATTAAAACTGACACCTATGATCTTCTCCAAAATGCCATGGGTGACAGGCACTTCCTCAGCAGTTGTAACTAACCGTTGTATCCTACTTACACTTGCAGTAGACAAGGTATGGAAGAAAGACATCCTCACCATTTTTAGAAGGTGTGCTAAGATATTTTGAGGCAGCTTATGCCAAAGCCTGCAAGTTTTCAATCATTTAGGATGACCTTTCTGTAGATGAAACCAGGCCAAAATTTTTGCCAAAGCTCACCTTAGGATTAAACTTAAAACACAGGTACTTTTAGTAGCATATAACACCAAAAATCCTCAATAATGCATGAAGAATCCATTTTTCTCCTGAAACTTTTTATAAATTTTGTATTTGGACAACCAAAGGTTGACTTCCATTTTTTTAAAAAAAAAATATATGTATATGTATTTTTTTTAGTTGTTGATGGAACTTTATTTTCTATACAGTGTTAAGAATCAAACTTAGTGCCTCACACATGCTAGGCAAGCGCTCTACCACTGAGCTACAACACCAGCCCAATTGACCTCCTTATGGTTAAGGAACAACTTGGGAAGAGAACTGAATAAAAAAACTGGCAAAAATATTAAAAGGATATTTCTTCAATATTGCTTTCTTAGGCTATTCAGAAGATAAAAGCATTTATGCTCCTCTTAGGAAATATGACGATAATGTTATGATTTTCAATGTAGGTTTAAAAAAAAATTTTAGGATATCTATACAAATTATATATATTAAGTATAGCTAGGAGAAAAAAGAAAAGAAGAAAACTTTATTTCTTTACTCCACTACTGTCACACTGCTGACCTGCTTCCCATAAGGTCAGCTAACCACCAAGTTCAAGGACCTTTTCTTAGATTCGACCCTTATTTTCATCTACATCCCAGAGGTCTCCCAATACAAGAATTTAGCCTTTTAAATAGTTTAGCTCCTGATGATCTAAATGACAATTACTGCTTTATTATCTACCAAACCTACCTCTCTAATCCCAACCTATCTTCTTTGATATATCTTTATCCCACTGCTCCTAACCGGAAAGCTTCTAAGTGCTGACAATAAGCTTCAAATAATACTTACTTCACCAAGACAAAAGCTTTCCCAAACCCCTTACTTTCATTTCCAGAGCCAACATTTTCATCATCCACACCAGAATACCAAATCCACTCGTGGATTTGTTGCTGTCCTGGGCTGTGCGCCACATTCAGCCTTTCACAAAGGCTTCTGTACTCTACCCTCATGCTGTCTGCATCAGAGTTTCTTTTAATTCCTCTACCCACATGCAAGCACAATATTCATCATCTCTTACCTGGATTACCTATGAGCCAGCAAATCTCAACTTTCTCTTTACCTCATGTCTTTGCCCAAACTCAACTCACACAAACCTGCAGAACCAATCCTTTTAAAGCCATAATTATTTTGCATTTCACTAAATCTTTCAATGATTAATGAATTAAACATAATCTCTTCATCTAATCCCTTAAAATTATAGGCAAAGCAAGTCTATTTTGTTATGAAGATAGTTGTTTTATTCCATTTTTATGGGCAGATCTACTAAGCATAGATCTAAAGTTAAGATATTAATAGTATTTACTGAATGAAGGTTGATATGGGGAGAAAACCAGGCTTAAATGCTATCAGGATTCTTAATTTTAGTTTTTTATGGCTAAGTAAAACCTTCAAGTCCTTTAACTAAAAATTCCACAATCTAGGATGTTGCCATTCAGTAGGTTCTCAGGAAAGCTGATTTCCAACTCAGTGTATGTAATGGACCCATATACACATTTAGATAACATGAATCAGTAAGATCATAATATAGACAAATGAGAACACTTAAGAAATAAAGCCTTTCTATTTTCAATAAAAGAAACACTCAAAAGTAATCCAATATTCTAATGAATAGTAAACTAGTGAAAATAAGTCAAGTCACCTTGTTCAGCATTTATTTTATAACCTTTACTCTATTTCTACTTACAAAAATTTCGCCCAGAATTATTTATTAATATTAAAGATGGAATGAGCATATTGCTTTAAAACACTAACTCAATTTGAAATGTGTAATGTGACTGCCTAGACAAATGTGGCACATATCCACTATAGTGGTTTTACATTATTAGTTTCATAAACCTACTTGTTTATTCTTTGTCTTCTCAGAATGAGTCCCAACAGAAAAGGGGCCATCTATTTAAATAACTCTTGAAAGACTTACAAATTGAAACAAATGGAAAGACACACCAGTTTCTTGAGTAGAAAGATTCATCATCATAAAGATGCCAGCTCTTAATAAATTAATTTAGTACAATTACATAAAAATACCATAGCACCCCCACCCCACATGGAGCTAAAAGAGTTGTTTAAAATTCATGGGGGTGGGGTACTGGGATTGTGTCTCATGGTAAAGTGCTTGCCCAGTATGTGTGAAGCACTGGGTTCGATTCTCAGCATGTATATAAATAAATGAATACAACAAAGCCCATCAACAACTAAAAATACATATAAAAAAATTCACTTGGGAGAATAAAACAAGAACATACCAATAAAACCAGTTTATTGAAAAAGAAGACCAATGGAAAAAATATGATTTCTCTATCAGCTTTTAAGGCATAACTATAAAATCCTTTTAATTGTAAGTATGGTGCTAAAAATGTATGGTACCAACTTACGGAAAAACATCAATGGACTAGAAATGAAAATACAAAAGGAAAAATGCTTTGTAACCAATTAATAAATCTGAAATACATAAAAATCAAATTGTTTAAAAAATGTATTTCCACATTTTACAAGTTAATTATGATTGGGTGACAGTTTAACACAAACTTGAAACAATATAGTTTTACTGTTCTACACTTAATTTTCTGCATTTATCATTACTTCTAAGAATCTGTTTTAGTTGCTAAATTAGAACTGTTTTTCAGTTATGTTGCAATTATTCAGAAAACTATCCTTGTTCAGACCACAATTTAGTGACAAAAGCAATTAAAAGCACAAAAGAACAATGTACCTCCTCTTTAATGTTAACTCATTAAAAAGGCTTTTAAATTCTTTCAGAAAAAAAAATAAAAGATAAATAATGGACTTGATTATTATAGAAAGCACACACATACTCTTTAGTGAATATCCCCCGAGGGCCAGTAGCTGTACCCTGGCTAGCATTCAGTGCATGTTTCTCCAGAATATTTCGAGCAGCTGGACTTAAACGGAACCTAAGAAGACAATATGAAGATTAATTGAACTAATTAAGACTTATATTGTTTCAAATACATCTAAATGTCAACAGCTTTGCTGATAATTAGAAAAACAAAATCTTATACTAAAACTAAAATGACTCCCATAGATGGACTTAGTCAGATAAATCTTTATCAATCTAGTTTATTTTATTATCAAACATTCTTGTAAAAATTTAGTTACTATTTCAAACTATTTATTTAATAAGAGTAAATAATCTAGTGAAAAGAGCTTCAATTCTGACTACGTTTCACATGGCTCCTGCCTTTTTTTTTTTTTACTATAATAAACAATACATAAAATTTACCATCTTAAGCATTAGGTGTAAAGTTGAGTGGCATTAAGTACAATCCCACTGTTGGGGAACCATTATCAATCCCCAGAACTTTCTCAGCTGCCCAAATCAAAATTCTGTATATATTGAACAGCAACTGTTCATCTCTCCCTCCCCTCAAAACCCGACAACCACTGTTCTATTTCTCTCTACCAATCTGACTACTCTGAGCGTTTCTTCATTTAAGTGTAGTCACATAATATCTGTCTTTTAGTGATGGCTTATTTTATTCATCATAATGTCTTCAGAGTTCATCTATGTTGTATTATGTGTCAGAATGTTCTTCCTTTTCAGACTGAATAACATTTCAAGGTATGTACACAGCATTTTAGACACGAGTCATTGCTACCATTTTTCTACTGTGAATAATGATGCATAAACCTGGATATTCAAACACTGAGAGTCTGCTTTAAATTCTTTAGAGCATATACCCAGAAGTAGAACTGCTGAGTGATAAGGTAATCCTCTTTTTTTGAGGAAATGCCACATTGTTTTCTATAAGCAGCTGTGCCATTTTACATGCTCATCCACATTGCATACAGTTTCAATTTTTTGCACATCCTCACCAACACTTCTTATATTCTGAGGTGGTTTTTTTGTTTGTTTGTTCTTGTTTTTCGGATATCAGCCATACTGATCAATGTGCTGTCTCATTCTGGTGGTTTCGTTTTGCACTTCTCTAATGATTAGTGCAGTGAGCAACTTTTCATGTGCCTACTAGCCATTTGTTTATTTAAATTTCTGTGCCATTTTCAATTCTGGTTGTTTCATTGTTACTGAACTATATCCTTAATATAATTTTTAAAGTCCTTAGTATTACCTGAAAATGCTTCTATTTTTACATATACTCCAGAAGAATAAGAGAGGGGAAAAATAACTCATTGATTTCATGAGCTAGTAAGCCCATAGTCATATGACTAGTAAGCACCTACTTTTTAATTAAGGACTTTAAGCAAAGTAGCAAATGTAAATAACTACATAATCTCATGAAGAAAATGAGTAAAACAGGCTGGGTCTGAAAGTTTAAAACTGACAAATGGAGAACATTTTAATGTATTTGCTACTGTAAATACATCTACTTGATATGGGCCTACTGTCATCAAATTTTTAGATTTTTTCCAAGAGAAAGTGAAGTTTTAGATTATTGAATAAGATTAATCAGTAACCAATTAAAAAAATTTTTTTTAAATCACTGCATGAACTAATAACACACAAGTTTATAGGCCATTTGGTATTTAAGAGAATACATAGTGGGACTTCAGATTCATGAGTCTCTAATGAAGTTTGGTATATTGAGTGCCACTCTGGAATTCTAAAACCTAATTCAAATTCAATGTGAAAACAGACTTTTTGTTCTCCATTGGGCAAGCAGAGTCTTCAGAGCACCTGGAACGTAACAGGTATTCAGTATCTATTGCTGAATGAACAATGATGGTAAAATAAAATAACTTCCCTTATTTCTCAGTGTCCTCAGAGAAATAAGGGAAGTTCAGTAACTTTCTACGTAATGTACAAAGATGCTTTAAATAAGATAATAATTAAAACCATAAGAGGGCCATAACAATTTTTTTTAATTAACATTATCATTCAAATAAACATACTCACTGCGGTGTCCCTGCTGTGTGTTCCTTCTTAACAGGGAGAGAAATCTGTGGTTCTGATGAGGGGTGAGGCACTGATGGTTTTGAAACTGATGGTGGAGGACCTACATCTTTGGGAATTTCAACTTGTTTCCAATCTTGTCCTTCTTCAACCATCAAACCAATTAGTGAACCTAGTCGTATGTTTTTAGTTCCCTCTTCAACCTGTATTTTAAAAACAAACAAACAAACAAAAAAAGTAGAGATAGAAAGTCTCATCAATGTCAAGTAGTTTATGCCTTGATGGGTAATCAAGGAAAGATCTCTTAATTTGAACTGAGAGTCTCAACCTCCTACCTTCTTTCCCTTCTGCTTTCCACTCATGCCCTCCTTCACCAGTCTTCCTCTCCCATTTATTAATAATACTTCCTGAGATGAAGGAAAAATCTAGAATCTCTCATTTTCATGGCAGCCTTCAAATATGTGAGTTACCATTGGTTTACTGTTTTTGATGTCAACTAATACAAATCTAAAACAGGAGACTATGGTTACATATCTCAATTATTTTGTCTTTCTCAGACAATTTCTATACATTGTCTTTCTCAATTTTTACACATTTCAAGAGCTCATATGGGCTTAATCCCCCCATTAGTCCTATCTACTAAAATTAATTTAAAATAAAATCTTTTCAGTAAACTTAGTCTCTGTGGGAAGGCCAGGGAAGAATGTTCCATTGTATAGATAGTAATTGAACTACTGAACTATTGTATTGATAGTATTGAACTGGCTAACTATTCTGGTTAATGTTAAGAATATTTAACTTTAGTATTTAATTCTTCCCCTGAATATCTACTTATAGAATCTGAAAAATAAAATAAAATTATGAGTTTTTAAAAGTTTATCAATAACATTAAGGTGTCCTACTTAACCAGTTTTTCAGATAATATTTACCAACTAAAAACCTAAGATCAAAGATGATTTTTTTTTAAATTAAGAAAAATAATTTTAAGCATATCAGCAGCATTAACTTATAAATGAAAGGCTGATTCTGATTTACTTATTAAATGAAGTCCCTAGAAAACCTGTAGATAACAATATTTGGAGGCTTAGTATTGGAAGAAAATGTCATTCCTTTAAAATTTTCTATTATTTCCTTTCAATTACTCTAAATAATGCTCATCACAGATGTATCTAATGAATAGCAGAATTACAGGCTGTAGGACATTCATTAATACAATAATTATAAGGAAAAGCATAATACCTAGCATGGGTTTGACATTTCAGAGTTACACTGATTCTGATGCATATTAGTATGTGCATTATTCTTAAAACAATAAAACATAAATTCTGAGAACTAGAAAGCCTTCTAAATTTACTAATTACCGATGGGGAAGAAAAGGAACAATACTTTAATGAAGCACATGTATATATACATGTATACATTTATATATAGATAAATGGACATATGAAACTAATTAAGAATAAACAATGAATTATAAGCTGTGGGAAAAGACCAAACAATCCAAGAAAAATTTAGTTGCAAAAGTTTTACTTCTACAAACTATTCATTTTTCATTTCTATGTCAAAAGATGAGTTAAGATTATTATTAGGTTAACATTTTCTCCATCTAAAAGTGTTTAATTAGCTGTTTATGAGATGCCTACTAAAAATCACAAAGTAAATGAGTAATTCTTTAAAAACTCATAGAAATAAGAAGCATTAAATGATATGAAGTCCACTTGATAATTCCTTTCAAGACTGAATCAGCCGTAAGATCAGTATCCAAGTACAAAGAATATGATTCAAATGTAAACCATTCCCTTGTAGGGGAAAATTTTGTTTTAAAAATATCAATAGATTTCTGAAATGTGAGTCAGATACTGTACTAAATTTGAAACTGAAATCTCCTTTTCTAATTTACTGTAAATCATATATATGATTCCACATATATCCTACCAACATGACATTAACATTTTCAAAGAGGCAGTAACAAGTTTTTATTATCATTTCACTTTTTACTGTATCTAAATATCAAACATTATTTAAAGTACTCACATTTTTTTCCCATGCTTGAGAGAGAGAGAGAGAGAGAGAGCGAGCGAGCAAGTGCACGAAACATAAATATTTAAAACTGGGGTAGACTTAGTACATAGGAATAAATCATACTTTGCAAAACTGTGTTTAGAAACCAAACAGGCCTTTGGCACTGTTCTGTCTCCTCTGTCCAAATCAACACCATAAATGCATGCTGTTCTACCAAAGTACTGGAGCTTTAGGACACCTGAAACATACAGGGTACACCTTTGGCTTACTTGATCAAAGCCTTCTATTACTCTTGTGCCATTGACTTCTTAATATGAAATGAAAAAATTTTACATTTTGCCCTATAAACTTATAGCTTATTAATAGTGAAATTCTGAATTAAGTCTGTCATTCAAAGTACTAGCGTTCCTTCCCAGTTTTGTATAGACTTCCTGGGTTTCAATGCTGAAACTCCATTAATTACTAGTTATATGGTCTTAGGTTTGTCTATTTCACCATGCTGATTTCTTTAAAATAAAAACCAGTAACAACAGGTATGTGTGGTTGTTATGAGGAATAAATGAGTTACATGTGAGGCACTTAGAAGAACATGTCACTTACCATAAATATTAAAGATATTACTTTTAAATCAAGAAATACTATCAACAGGATCAAAATTGGAGTGCACCTTGATAAGGGCTGGAAATTCCTGCCTAATGGCCCAGCATGTGGCTGGTAGCACTAGAGGGCAAATAGCAACATATAAAAGGTGGTAAGGCCTGAGATAAATTCTTAATAACACTGATAGGCTAAATTTCATCCCTCTACCTGTACCAGAGATGTTCCCAAGCAGTGACATTAAACATCTGCAACTATACCAAATAGAGCTCACCTATGTTTATCAGTGTACCCAAAAGTATGGAATGCTGAAATCAAGGCACAAAGTAAAATTAAAGTGTGCTAAGTATTATTTTACATTTAAAATATAATTCAGATGCAAAACTAAAAGAGTATTTAGAAAGCCAAACTGTGAAGATAAAATACAAAACCTCTTAAATTTCTAAGAGTAAAATGTACTATGATTTCTAAGCCTTTCAAATATGTGTGCTCAAAATTGACATTAGAGTTGCAGTACTTATTTTCAGTGTTCAGTTTAATTTTATTACCATCCCTTGCCTTTTAATAAGCTCAATTATCCAACTCTTTGATTCCGAAAGCAGAAGTCTCTTAAATGTATTACTCCTGTAAAAATCATGTTATTTTGTTTGGAAAAATGAGAATTATTCCATAGCAAAAAAGATGGGTACAACTCTTGCTGGTGGTGATGGTGGTGAGGGTTGAAGCAGGAGAGAAGACAAAACCAAAAGGCACTAGTGAGCCCACCTTAATTTGTTCCCTCTGTGAAACTGTATAACATTGTGACATGAATATACTCCCACTACCATCGTCCAAAAAGCATGTAGAATAATAATAAAAATACAAAGCCCTAAAACACACAATCTTTTCTTTGGCAGGAATACCCTCCTAAACCTTTCAGAGCATTAGGGACCATATGAATAGGCACTCCTGACCCACTGACATAGTTAGCCATTTGAAATGCATTACTAAGCAGTTAAGTGGAAAATGCTATAAATTCTGAGAGACTTTTTCAGCCAAGCAATTCAGAACTAGGGCCAAGAGCACAGCCTGTCAAAAGCACACCCAATAAAATGCAAACTGGGTTTATTACATATGGCAATTTAAGCAATCTTTCTCTTCCTCAAAATACTACATAAATTAGTCAAATTATTTTTGGTAAGTATATTTTTTTATTTTCTCAGTTATAAAGGTAAATATTTTAATCTTCAATTCAGACTTCCTCTGAAGAAGTTAACTATATTTTAAACAACGTGCTTCAATCATAGACAGATGTTTGATATAATAAGATGTCGGGAATAAAACAAGTGGTTAGAAAATATACACATAAAAGGCAGTGGCACATGCCTGTAATCCCAGTGGCTTGGGAGGCTGAGGTAGGAGAATCTGTAGTTCAGAGCCAGCCTCAGCAACAGCAAGGCACTAAGCAACTCATTGAGTTGCTAATAAAAAACAAAATAGGGCTGGGGATATGGCTTAGTGGTCGAGTGCCCCCAAGTTCAATTCCTGGTACCACCTCCAAAGGACTTTCTAGTAAGAAACACTAATTTAAAAGTTATAAGATCTATATCTAATTAGAGTATAACATTCTAAGGTATGGCCTTTGGACCAAATAGACAATGGAAGGTGTTATATCCATCCTAAATGCAGAGATGAGCTGGTGGATCAGAACTAAAAACATATCGACAAGGGACTACCATTAGAGGTATGTCTTACCAGTACAAATCAAACTATAGAGGCATAAATGAATATTTATTGGTCAATCACAAACAACTGATACAAATGCTTAGACTCATATAGAATGACATGGGAGTCATTTGTATATTTTCTCACTTAAATTTCCCTAATATCCCATGGTCTGTTATAATCTTCTCTACTTTATTATGAAGCAATGGATAAAGAATTTGCTTCTCATTATGCAGTTGTAACTGCAGAAGAAGACTTTAGCTACATGATTCAGGTGGCACTGTGACTCCCAGAAACCACAGTCTTAGCTGCTATTCTATACTATCTGGCAAATGTTCTGGAAATGAAGAAACAACACATTGATTGGCTACATCAGTAGAAAAGTATTTTACCATTTACGCATTTTATTTTACTTTTCTCATGAGTTTTAAAATTCCATCTAAAAATAACATATGCATTATAGAAAATTTAGAAAATACAAAAAACACAATTCGAATTAAAAATGTACTATGTAAAAGATAATACAACAATATAAATAAAGAGGTAATTTTTTTTCAAAAACTTTACATTTAAGAAATCTTCATCCTACCAATTAATGCCACATCATGTACAACCAGAAGAATGTGAACAATATATCAAAATACATTCTACTGTCATGTATTAAAAATAAAAAAAAAGAAATCTTCATCCTATAGAAGATAATCCAAATGAAAACTTACCACTATTTTGGCCAAGATGCCGTCATCACTTGCATCTAAGGTAACCACAGCTTTGTCAGTCTCAATTTCACATAATGCATCTCCAGCACTCACAGCTTCACCTACAAAACAACACTGGGTTTGTTTTGTTTTTTTTAAAATATGAATATCTGTAGATGTGTGTAAAACATAATTAACAACAAAATACTCTATAGTTACTTCTGGGTTGTGAAATTATAAACAGTTCTAATCTCACGTGTGTGTGTTTGTGTGTGTGTGTGTGTATGCTTTGTTGTATTTTCTGAAAGCTTTATTAGGGGTATAATTATATTTGTTGTAATAAAAAGCTATTGATAAGATTACTGAACAAATATTAAAAGTAAAATCACACTGAGACAATAGCAACAAATGAATATTCTCTCCAGGACAAATCAATTTCAGACCCCGTATCTCTTTTTCTTTTAACAGTGCTAAGGATCACACCCAGGGCCTCATCATGCTAGGAAAAAGCTCTATCCCTGAGTTAAACTCCCAACCCTATCTCCTGCTAATTTGACTATTACTCTATAGAGAGAAGTTTCATAATTAATAGTACTTTTTGGTTTACATCTTAGGGCAAGTTCAGAAATCCTATCTGTACCACACAGCATAAATGAATAAAGCATACACAGCATAAAAAAGAGAAAATCAACATGGCTGATGTCAAATTAAGGACCAGTTCTGTGCAATAGAAAAGATATGAAAACTTAAAAACCCGAGCAGGAACTGACATTACAGACATGCTGGTTTCTGGATCAAAAAGTAGGTTTGTGGTGGGGAGGAGAGAAGAGATAGATTTCCTTTAGGAAGTACAGGGAACTAAAAGTGGCCTTGTGGAGCCAGGGGACTCAAATCAGCTTTACCACTTGAAGCTAGGGCTAAGTCAGGCTGACGAAATGAGCCATCAAAACCTGACTGAGACTAAGGCTTTATTCAGAAACTGTGGGTGTAGGAGATGGGGGACAAAAATACTGCCCCAATATCAGAAACCAAGTCAAACAGCCTTCTGGCTCCAGGACTGCATCTGTCAATATTCTCAGTATCCATAGCAAAATCCAGGGGCTAAGGGTAAGATAAGGGATGGGCAAGAGGGAAGACATTTGAGAAAAACAGAAAAACCTTCCATTCAAAAGTAAACCATAAAACAAGGTCCTGAAACATTAAGAAACCTAATGCTAAGAAAGCAAGTCACAAAATCAATAACTGGAACAGAAACAGATTTGAGAAGCAACTCTTTAGTGCAATCTGCCAAAGATTTTAAAATAAGTATCTGGAGGATGTTAAAAATATAAGTGAAGATAAAACAGCCATCACAAGGACAATAATTTTTTTTAAAAAATGTACAGAAATGAAACAAAACAGCATCAAGTAGAAAGGAAAAAAGCTAATCAGAAATATTGGAAATAAAAAAATTAAGTCATCAAAATTTTAAAAAAAGGTATATATTCTAGAGTGGACATAGCAGAAGAGTGATATTGAAAGCTAGCACCAAGAAACTATCCAGTAGTTAACACATGCAGATAAAAAAAAAATTTTTTTTTAAATAGAAAGGAAAAGAAAAGAGCAGCTAAATGACATAGACTGAGGCTGCAATGTTTGTCTTATGGACTTCCTGGGGAAGACTTGGGGGGCTGGTGGAGAAGCAATACCTGAAGAAATAATTGCCAAAATTTTTTCCAGAACTAGAGATGTATACCTTCATAATATTAAGAGTTTGAAATACCCATTGTTGACTGAGAGGGGGCACAAGAGAGCCTTGTGGCATGTGAGGAATGTCCTAAATCTTGTAGGTAGAGGTACATATAAATATTGAGATTACATTCTATGCAAGTTAAAACGGTGACAAAATTTTAACAGGAAAAAGAGTATTAGAGCATGTAAACATAATCCACATTAGATACACTGTAGAGAAACTGCACACTATCAACAATAAAAAACGTAATTTTAAAAGCTATCAGAGGAAAAAAAAAACATTACCTCAATGGAATGACAGACTGAGAGCACACTTCTCAGCAGCTGCAATAGAGGTCAGAAGACAATGAAGCAATATCTTCAAAAAGCTGAGGAAAAATAACTGTCTAGAATTTTACATGCAGCCAAACCATCAATTAAGAATGACAAAAAGTATTGTTTAGACATATCAAAGCTAGAAAATTTACCATTATTGGCAATCACTTCAAAGAGCTCATACAAGATTGTCATCAAGAAGAAAAGTAGACACAGAAAGGACCCATGAGACACAAGAAAAAAGTTACCACAAAAGCTGCTATAATGCTAACCATTTATCACTTAAAAGGCCATGTTTGAAGGTCAAAAAGTAAAAACTCAAAAACTAAAAATCAATAAGATGAATAAGGGAATGTTTAGGTGATGTGAACCATACTGAACTTTGATACAATTAGGAAAAAATACTGAATAACTACATTTTTTGACAAAATTTAAGAATTTAAAAATAGAAATATAATCTATATCAATTAAAAAATCAGCAAAATGATCACTTAACAGAAAGTATGCCCATGAAAAGAAAAGGAAGAGAATAAAAACAGAAATGCACAAAAAACAGCAAAAATAAATTCAAATGTATAAATAACCACAATAATTGTAAACGGATTAAAACTACATATAAAAGTAGTGGTTATGAAAATACAGAAATAAAATCTTGGTAAAAATAGCTTAGAAGAGACAGACCTAAACCCTAAATAGAAAAATAAAATAAAGGGATAGAAAATATAAGTCATACAAATACACCCCCATCTCTTCACATATACACCCAAATAGCTGAAATAGCAATATTTACAGGTGAATACAATGAGAAAATGTGAAAGAAAATCTAAAATACTAGTAAGTTAATAAGTGTGCTCTGAAAGTTTCCTTAGAATGAATCTCATCTGAGCCTGAGAAGATGAGGAGATAAATAAAGGATAATGATTCAGGCAGAAGGCGGCATACCCAGAGGCCTGGGAGCAAAGAAAACACGCCACTTTGGGGGAACTAGCAAACAGTACATGAGAGAAGCAATGAAAGATTAGGCTGGTGAGATATGCAGGAACAGACCAAAAAGGACCATTGTATGTCATACAGAGAATGTCCCAGTGTCATATTATACATTTTATCTTACGTACTTCTTTATACAGCAGATGTTTTAGTTAAAATAGATCATACTTCAAAAGGAAAAATAAAAAAGCACTATTCTGTTTCTGTAATAACCATGGGAGAGATCACTGAATTATGCAACCTACCATAAAACCACTTCTTTGATGGCTGGAAAATAAATTCTGGCCTTAAGAAACCAAGTAAAATGAAACTATATCATTGTGCTCATCCAAGTTCAAATTTCAACCACTCTTTAAGAACTATCTATTCTTCTGCTTCAGCTATGTAACTTTCTCTTGGCACTTCAACTGACAAGTTTTTGTTTCTATTCCTGAATTCCTGTAACAGTTATAACTAATTTGAAAAGAACCACAAATTACAATATAAAATGTTATATTGCTACTACTAATTACTTTTTAAAAATTGTATTTTTCTCTACTTACTAGAAAATACTGTGAGCTTTTCCACAATAGAAACAGGGCACATTAGAGATGTTTTATATCACTCCCATTCCTCAGATCTCAGGCCAGTGCCCCATGTGTGATGCACTTCAGATTAAATGCTTTACAAAAAAACTGTAATAACTTAACATATCCTTATTTCCTTATGAGGTACACATCAAACTGTCCTTTGCGTGTCTTTTCATTCTCCCATTTGATTTGTAGAATGTTTCTAATTTTAAATAGACATGTAACCCCGTTTCTTATGTTCTTTAAACAATACCCACATCTTGCCACATAACATAGGCACATATGCCAGCTAAATAAGAATGCTGAGAGAAACAGACAAAAACTACTGTGTATAAAGAGCTTTGTCCATAAACTACAGTAACATTTAAAACATTATACTTTCATATAAAGAAGCATTACCCCTAACTTATTATGAAACTAGATTCTATCTATTGATAATCAAATACAACGTAAATGCCAAAAGAAAATTTTGAGACTAAATGCCACAAAGATGCAAGTCTGATAAGTTTCAGCTTTGATCAACAAGTTAGCACTATATTGAGAAAGACTGCTTGACAGAGAAGTTAAAAGGAACCTCTCCCAAGTCAGACATGTCAGATATGAGTTTCATTTGAAGGCTGTACACTTAGTAGTGATCTAGTCACTTCATCTTAATCTCTTTGACTCTCAGGAAGAGATTATTAAAAAAAAAAATAACAGACTTGGAAGTCACTTCACTTACACCTTTACATAACACTTCACATCTTCAGATAGAACTAAAGACAAAATATTAGGTATAGCTAGTAACAACGATTAAAACTCAAGATCCATTATTTGCTCCTCTTCCAGTCTATTATTTCAAACAGATCATTCAACAAACATTAATGTATAAGACACTGTAGTAAGCACTGAGTACAAAAACAACAAGATATGGTTCTATTTGTAAAGAGTTTATAGTCTAGTGGAAAAGACTGAGCAGCCAGGACAGAGGCTCATGGACGATCTGAGGGACAGAAGGCTTCTCAGTTGTCACGTTGATGGCTGACTGGCTGCAGAAGATGGCAGCCCTGGAGTGTTCCTGAGCCATCTTCTTGAAGTCGGTGTCAGTGGCGTAGGTGGAGCGGGCCCGGAGCGAGAGTGCGGGCCCCAGGAGGGGCCAGACCAGAGGCCCGCCCGGGGGCCGCTCCCCAGCACCGACGCCAGCATCATATCCTGTTCCTTCGTCCAGATGAGCAGCTGTCAGAGCTGAGGATGGAAGTATACAGAGGCTTCCCTCTGTCTTAGTAAATTCTAGGCATGAAATAGTGTCTCAATCAAACACGGTTTATATTATTAACCAAACACATCCTGTGGTTTTTACAAAATACTTTTGTCCTGCCAAAAATTTAAGACTAAGTATTTCCAAGGTGTATGATGGTAGAGGGCTACTTGTTGTCTGAAAGACCAAGTAAATCAGATCTACATAAACATGAAAGAGAAAAACCTCTTCTTATTGCTATGTTGAGAGATATTAATGTATTTGCTCAGCAAACATCTACAAGTTGCCCCTATATGAATGACACTGTATAAGATACCATGGTTAACAATAATAAGATAAAAATGCTACAAGAAGTTCCTAATCAGAACCAGCTGACAATGCCAATCCCACCCAATTAGTACACAACAGAATGGTAATAGAGAAGAGGGATCCCTAATCACAGTGTGTCAATGCTTATCACTTCATCATAATTAAAAGGATGATATTTGCATGGACCCATGACCTGAGGCAGCCTGGCTGCTAGGCCAGTCAAATCCTGCCCGGAGTGCTGACAGCATGAGTGGTAGTTTGAGAAGGAGACTGTCACATCAGGTTAAACTCCCATACATCCCTCTGGTCTCTTCTTTACCTGTTTAGTGGCTACTGTATTGAACAGTTTGGCAAAGTACATTTTTATCGCCACACAGAGTTCCATTGATTAATACTGTAATCTACAATTCATTCACCAATTTTACAATTTTGATCTAATATAAATGTTAGCAATAACTGTAAAAAAGCACAATGATAAAAGCAATTCAGCAACAAAAGTAACGAACTTGCTAATACTTGTTACAACATGGATGATCTCAACTATGCTAAATGAAAACTCTACATTATGATGACTATTTACATGAAATGTCTAGAAAAGGCAAAATTTTAGAGACAGAAACCAGATCAAAGTTGTCTAAAGCCAGGGATGGGAGACAAAAGCAACTGCAATCACGCAGCACAGAACATTTCGGGATGACAGAAGTGTTCTAAAAATGGACTATGGTAAGTTTACTAAAAATAATTGGATTGTGCACATAAAATTGGTGAATGTGTAAATTACATTTCAAAAAAGCTGTTAAAATAGTAGTATACCAAAAAAACACTGAGGCTATTTGTGAAATGTACTTTTCCAAAATTTTCCAGTTTAGCACCACAAACATATTCCCAGAAATAGAAACCAAAGTCTCTTCTACAGTAGAATCCAGAATCTTTGTGTAATTCTCCAATTGTACCTAGTGGTACAGGATAAAGTCCCCATCAGAACAGTTTTACTCTCAAACACTAAGTTTGAGACAGTCCGACTTACACAAAAGCTGTGTGGAATAGTCAAAATTCCCAGTTATACAACATAAGAAAGGCTCACTAAGAATGACAGCCCCTGGATTGAAGAATCACACCTAGAGCAGCAGAGGACATCACTTGCTAAGCACATGTCTGCTCCAGACACCATGTGCTAAGTATGTCACACAATTGTTCCAGTGTGGTTTTGTTTCATAGTGCTTCTTGGCAGAGCGCAAATCTAAAATATTAATCTCAAGGAAAAAAATATTTTTCATATGTGTAAATATTCTCTCATGAAAGGGGAACAAATATTTCTTTTTGTTGTTTTAACAGATTTGACTTTTCAACTGATGAAAAAATAAACTATGGCCACTTTAATAAACAGAAATTACCTGAAGTATACTTTCTTTACCACAACCCCACCCTCCTAAACACCTGTAATAAAGATGGAGAATTACAGTTCAACTTACCTTTCAAGATTATTTTGAAATTGTGTGTTATTTAGCACTTTCAAAATATTTTCTCTACTGTTTTATTTTATTAGCAGTACAGAAGACTGAACCCAGGGCCTTGTGCACACAAGATAAGTGCTCTACTATTAAGCTACATACCTAGGCCTTTTATTTTTATTTTTTGAGCCTAGGTCTTGCTAAATTCCTCAGGCTGGACTCCAACTTGTGATCCTTCTGCTTCAGCCTCTCAAGTAGCTGTGTGATTATAGTGTGCACCACCACACTCAGCTTCTACTAATTTTATGATGCATACTTTTAATTCAATCCTCAGACTAAATAAGCATCCTATTACTTATTATTAAACTAGTGTCCTAAGATTCATTAGCTCAAAAAGATGAAAATAATTTACATGCTATTATTGCACATAACTCAATATAAAAACAAATTATGATTGAATTTGAAGCTATGATATACCTCTTTTCTTTGTATTTTGTTTTAGTTGTAGTTGGACACAATATATTTTATTTTTATGGGGTGCTGAGGATTGAACCCAGCGCCCCACACATGCTAGGCAAGCACTCTACCACTAAGCCACAACCCCCAGCCTCTATGATATACCTTTGATTTTATCTAACTTGACTCACTCCAGGTAGTTCTCACGGCAACATAGAAACTCCAAAGGGCAAATCATGATTCTTTTATTGCACCCTTACCTCCCTAGCTTAAAACACGCATTAATAAAAGTAGCTGTGAATTAGAGTCTCAGATTTTCAAGAAACCTTAAAAGTTTATATAACCGAACTGCTATCCACAGGCTATTGGATCATTATCTAGCCTTTGCTTAAAAATAAATTAGATTGATAACTAGATACAACAGCACTCTTTTTCATTAAAAATTTTCAATATTCTTAATGTTTTAAATTCCATTAACCTTACATTAATAAAGATCTCAATATAAAAAAAGCATAGCTAATGAGAAGTATATAAAAAAGGGAATATGTTTTCAATAAATTTATAATCTAATAGTCCCTTTTTGAATGAGCCAAGTGTCACCATCAACATACCAAGCACCAAGCGTACCAAACTGCCGGGTCTGTTCCAATTACTGCATTAACCATAACAGGGACACATTAACACATTTGGACACATTCCCTGCTATGGAAGAGAATTTAGTAATGCTTGCAATCACACAGGTCAATCCTAACCAGGCACAGTCATCTGGACAGCCTCACTGTGTTACATCTCCTAGGTTACTCCCTTATGGATACCTGCCTAATCCATAGGACCAAGCTTCTGCTCTGAGGCCCATTCTGTTATCTATCTTCTTGTTTTTCCTAGCACTCCAGAATCCCTCAAAGAATGGCAGCCTTGCCCCAAACTCCCAAGCTTATTTGGCAGGTATTGTCAAATAAGTACTTGCCGGCCCTCTTCCCAAGCCCCATACGTGTCATCATTGGCAAAAGTTATACCACAAGTGGCTAGACCTCCTGGAATAACAACAGAACTCTGCCACACTCTCAATTCTTACCTGAGTCTTAAACTCTCCAGATGCTCTTTTATAATTACTTTCTGGATGACACAAGACCAGAATTTGCCTTAGCAAAATCTGTGCCCACTGAATCACAAATGGAAACCCCGAAAGTCCTTGCCAGGGCTAGCCACTTGCTTGGTTTTTGTTTTTTTGTACCAGGGAATGAACTCAGGGGTGCTTAACTATTGAGCCATATCCCCACCCCTTTTTATATTTTTTTTTATTTTGAGATAAAGTCTCACCAAGTTGCTCAGGACCTCGCTATGTTGCTGAGGCTGGCTTTGAACTTGTGATCCTCCTACTGCCTCAGCTTCCTAAGTCACTGGGATTGTAGGAGTGTGCCACTGCACCGAGTACGCATTTATTTTTAATTGGTTCTTTCTAGATATATATGACAGTACAGTGTATTTGACAAATTACACATACATAGAGTATATACTAGTCTAAACAGGATCCCATTCTTGCAGTTCTTTTAAAACACCAACCCCACCATTTTAATTATATAGGCTTAATAATATGTTTCAATAACTAGAAGTCTACTGCCCTTCTCTACTGCTCTTCTTTTGAGGCTTTTCCTTATTATTCTTACTTATTTGCCCTCTTATAATCAACTTCCCTAGCTCCAGGAAAATAGGCAGTCACACAGTCATGATAGAGTTATAAACTAAGGGTTTTGATAAAAGCATGAGGTTGAAAGACTGAAAATTAAAAAAAAAAAAACCCTTAAAATATTTTAAAATTCAGTGCATGTGGAAACACACAGGATGAACCCAGAAAACTTTGCTACATTACATGGGAAATTTTTATTTAAACAAATCTATATTAGTAGCAAAGAAACACAAGTTACTTCATTTACATTATGTACTGTGTAATACAACTGATTAGAAAAAAGCCAAAATAACCAGGAAGAGTGATCAACAAAGCACAGTAGACACCAGTGATGTTCTTAACTCACCTTCCTTTTTCAGCCATTTGACAATGTTTCCCTCTTCCATTGTAGGTGACAGAGATGGCATTAGAACCTTAATAGGATCAACTGAAAGTGGAAAAAAAGAAAAGATTAGCCTCTCCCAAAAAAGTACTCACAAGGAATTAATATCAATTCAAATAAATTACTATCAAATTCTATGGAGAAAGAGGGTACTCCAAAGACAATTCCCAGATGACAAATAAAGTGTCTAGTAAATACTATGGAAACATAACATTCTCAACTGTGAATATTTTTATAAAACTTTTTTTTAAATACTTGACTACTTTCATAATTAGGTGCTTACAAGTTAAAAAAGAAAAATTGATTTAAGTTTCATCTCCTTTCCCTTTTGTCTCTGCAAAAAATATTTTGGGTAAAATGATCACAAGAAAAGATAAGAAAAAATAACATCAAAACAGGATTCTGGGGGCTGGGGTTGGGGCTCACTGGTAGTGCACTTGCCTGGCACGTGTACGGCACTGGGTTTGGTTCTCAGCATCACATATAAATAAATAAAATAAAGGTCTTTCAACAACTAAAAAAAAAAAAAAAAAAGTTAACAACAACAAAAAAAACAGGACTCTAATGACCTGGAGCAGATTAATCAAGATCAGACTTTAAGAAATTGGTTGTTGTAATGCACCGCTAAACCTACACTACACAATATTCAAAGGTATAATATTATACTTTTCAATATTCAATATTCAAATAGTATATTATATTACTCAATATTCAACTGTAGGTGACAGAGATAGCATTTCAATTTTTTTTAAGATTGAAAGGAAAAGTTTATCTAGTCAAGGTTGATCAGGCAAGAAACTAAGCAGTTGAACTGATCTCAGATTTTGTTCCCTACCACAATTCAACTGGGGATTCAAAAAGGCTGACCTTAAACCTGAGACACCTCTCACTGAAGCAAATTATTTTTTCCTTAGACACCAAAAAAGGAAACAGTATGTATCTGTCCTGCTCTACTTCCCAATAATTACCCACCGTCCAGGACTATATTCAAAGAGCACACAGCTTTTGATTAAAATTTATATAAAGGTTATACTAATAAACTACCGTAACAACAAATTACATTCCCTGAAGTCTTTCACAGAACCATTCTCTTCTCAGATATTCAACACTCAAGACTCAAACAAGCAAAATACTGCAGCACAGCTAACATATTTCAAATGTGGAAGAGGAGAGAACAGAGTTTACTCCCCATTAATGTATTAGGATTAACAGTAAGGAAATTTAGCACTCATGTTAAATGGGGTTAAATAAAATGAGGTTTCCTTAGGGAAATGGAACTAATTTTACAGTGACTTTTGGAGAATTCCGATGGCTTCATGTTAAAGGTACTTCCAAGAAAATATTAAGAAGAAAGGTTCTATCTGTTCTCTACTTCTTCACTCCTCTGTAAAGGACTGGGAAAAAGCATGTCTACCTGCCTCAGCTTTGTCCTCATTTTCTTTTAAGACCTTCCTGTCTATAGGGAACCTACATTTTCCTCTGAGCTCTTCCATGGCCCTGCATGGCCCTGCATGAATGAACCTGCCTTTGAAAGACAGATCCAGGGCTGGGGATGTGGCTCAAGCGGTAGCACGCTCGCCTGGCATGTGTGTGGCCCGGGTTCGATCCTCAGCACCACATACAAACAAAGATGTTGTGTCCGCTGAAAACTAAAAAATAAATATTAAAAAAAAAAAATTCTCTCTCTCTAAAAAAAAAAAAAAAAAAAAAAAAAAACAGAAAGAAAGACAGATCCATAGCCTCACCTCTCCCTGTTCCCATCATCAGGGCTCATTGGGTGTGAGGCGACAATCCATGTATGTTTGCTTTGTATACACAAACTCTCTCCCTCAAACAAAAAGCCAAACTTTAAATAAGGGGTTGTACTGGAAAGTCCAATTGTGGAAGGCCTCAGCTCTGCATCACATTCTCTAATCCAGCCTATCAGCATTAAGACTCCACCCACCCACTTGATCCTCATACACCTGACTACTTTCCTCTCTTACATCTGGTACAAATTCTAAGACAGCTAGAATTATCACTTCTAATGGCCCCAAAATGATAAAGTCCAAACTAAATTCAAAGTGAGCATGATCATTTCACCAATATGAAGACCACAGTTCAGATTAAGGGAGCTGTCCGCTTAGCTCTCTCGGCTGTCCTTTATTAGACTGTGTTACTTTTTTCTCATGTTCCTTACAAATACTGATCATCAGTTGATTGCTGATTATTTATAGGGCTGGTGATGTAGCTCAGCTGTAATGCATTCTTAGGTTTAATCCCCAGCACACATACAGTTATTTTGGAAAGGACTGCAGAATACTGGCCATCAAACTCCTGTCACTTATGACTCTCAATAATTATTGTTGCAGGTTGCATTTAATTCCCAAGCTACCTCTAATTGAAAGACAAATTACAGAGTATAGCTTCCTAAATTTTTGCACTTTTTCTAGTAAAATAAGTCCATAAACAGGCACATTCAGACATTACTCAGGTAGAAAACAATGCAAACTACTATGCCCAACCTTAATGCATGGAATCTATAAAACAGTGAAATGCTAAATTCTTGAATGAACTAAAATCAGGGAAGTACACTTGGGAAAAACACTCACACAGATCAAATCCAAATCACAACAATCCTACACTTGAAAATGAAAGAATTTTCAAGTGCTAAAGCTTAATACATTAAACATATTTGGAAATAATAAACTGAACTTTCTAATCTCCTAGATTATTTTGTCTGCTGCCTTGAGTCTCCTCCCTTTTTCTTTTTTTTTTTTTTTACATGGCTTGATGAAAAAAACATTTGCCTAAAAAATGTAGAGCCAACTCAACCTTCAGCATTTGTTTTTTTAAGCTGGTAATGACAAACGTGCTTTTTGTTTAAAAAAAAAAAAAGCCAGACCAGTGGCTTTAATCATGCCTGTAATCCCAGTGGCTGAGGAGGAGGATCATGAGTTCAAAGCCAGCCTCAGCAATGGCAAGGTTCTTTTAGCCATTTAGTGAGACCCTGTCTCTAAATAAAATACAAAACACGGCTGGGGATGTGGCTCAGGGGTCCAGTGACCCTGAGTTCAATCCCCAGTACTCAAAAAAAGGGCAAAACCCCTTAACTTCTAAACAGCATCATGGAAAGAAGCACAACTTAAAAAAAAAAAAAGAATCCCAATGTGCTGATTCTATCAACAAGTTTAAGTCTACCATTTTAAGCCTGGAATTTATATATATATATATATATATATATATATATATGAATATATGAATCCATCAAATAAAGTTCCACTTCGAGGCACAAAATAAATGGACCTCAATAATTCTACATTCAGATTCCAATTTATGACAAATACTAAATCAATTCTCTCAAAACAAAGTCTCTCTTCAATATTTTTATACTTTGGTTCAGTTGCCATGATAAAATTCATATTTATTTTATGATTCTATCTCCTATGATAATTTCTCACCTAGAGACCTTCATATTTGCATTATTCCTGACATTAAGGACTATTTTATGAAATGTCTGCATTAAGTATTTTTTCCAAAGCACAACATCAAGCACCTCAAACACTTTCATGTTTTAAAATTTAAAAAAAAATCATTTTTTAGTCACCCTTCATGGATGAACTGAAATTGCTTCTCTGAATAATGATAATAAAATATAAAAATTCTGTAATAGATCACTATCCTTATTGTGCAATGAAGGTGACATAAATGGAAGAAAGATTTTGACATCTCCATTATTCAGTACCATCTCTTGATTGATTATACTGGCTTATTATGGAATAAAAAGTGTAATATATTCTCTGACTACTGTAACCGATCAATCCTATGACTTTAATGGTAGAAAAAACATTTCAAAATAAAAGCATTAATTTATTAGTAAGAGTCCATATTTCATTCTAGTTCCTTCTTTGGACTGAAATATTACATGCATTTTCCAAATGTATTTTTCTGATGGGAAAGTAATTATATAATATCAGCTTTGAGTGTCAAGGTTGCACATAATTAATATCTACCCTTTAGGTTGCTGTCAACTGTCTTAAGATAGTGGAGGCTTTTCTAGACTCCCTTGGAATAGAAATACCCTACACATACATTATTTAGTTTTCATTAGAAATTAATGACAGCCCCCTCTTCATTTCAGTAAGCAATACATTCCACCATTATTCTGTTAAATTGCAGAAGCCTTGAAATGTGCACCCATTATATTTCCTACTAATACCAACTGGCACAACTACAGGTAAGAAAAAAGGAAATGTGATCTTTCTAAACTGGTTATACAGGTTTTTTTAAATTAGAACTTAAAAATACTTGAAAATTAGAATATAACCCATTTGTAGTAATTTATTGTTCCGTTCCTTTCTACAAAACTATCAAATGATGCCTAATTTTCTTATAAAGTCTGCCATTCTGTAATAGTTATAAAACATTAAAAATTCATAAGATGACTCTGGTAATGTATATTTCCAGCAATTTAAATTCACATATACTGATTTTAAAAGCAAATATCTCACAAATCATTATAACTATCTTTATCTCTTAATGTTTTTTGCCTCAACAGAATGACACAATAAATTAAACAGCTTAGTTTACTGCTGCTTTCCCTGCCATATCAACCACATGATCAATCTATCAATCACTGAATTTTATAGAAGCTTCTCTAAGCAATTTTTGTTTCTTTGAATTTGTTCTTCCAATTTTTCTACAGCATATATCTGACTTTGATTTGAAATACTGTACACTGACCTAATTCTAACTTATTAGTTCTTTTATACTAAAAATAAAACTCATATTCCAACAAAATCAATTATACTAAATATCTTAAGCCAATGATATACAAGAATTGTAAAAGGCGTCTGGATTAAAAAAGAATATATGCAAACTCTTAAAATATAAATGCAGAACAAATTGCTTTGTGGTTAATGGGAAGCAGATCTAAGCTCCATTACTTTGACTAAAGTAATTAAGGAAACTCAGCAGTTTACATACGGTACATTTTAGAGTCATGCTCTGGTCCATTTATGGGGCTATAACCTAAGCACACAAAAACTGTGAAATAGATAAGACCA